AATCTTTTAACCTTCTATTCAAGGACTAATTTATTTAGATTTAGTTTCAAGAACAGAATAGCTGGTGAATGGAATTGTCTCCCTCGTGATATCAGAAGAGCATCTTCTGCGGCAAATTTTAAGTTAAAGTGTTTTTTTAGATTTTACGTGGTTAATTTTCGAATTTCTTTTGGATATGTATATGGGCTTTAGGTCGTTTGGGGTTTCCTCTTAGTACGGCGCTGCAGTGCTTAATGAGTATTCTTTCCCTTTTTCAACGTGGATGTTGATGAAATAAAGTTTGAAAAAATGAATTTTAAAAACTCACGAAAAAGTCCAAGATTTTTTTTGGTTAAATACTAAGAAATACATAGCACTATGCAAAAAGGCTACCAAAGAGGTTTCACTTGGGTGGTAACACCATAGGGTTTCGTCTCCAGACTGATGGCAAAATTTAAAATGATGGTTCGGTCTAAGAATGAATGGAGAAATGCTGGCTATCTTTTCAATTTAAGGGAAGTTTGGTTTGGTAATTTGGCACTCATGCTTTTCATTCTAGGGCTCATTACTTCTGATTTAAAATCTCCTCCATGCCTTACAGCGAATTCAAGACGCAATGTCAAGAGTAAAGTGCCCGCTGACCTGTCTATTTGGGTATTTTGACGAACATTTTGTTCTCTGGCATATTCATGGTTCAGACAATTCCCATTACCTACCCTGGGTCCCTACCCCAAACCCAGGTATTTATCGTTTTTTCCTCCAATAAGGTGAGAAGCGCTATAGTGGGGCCAGAAATTCCATGAGACTTTAAAAAATGATTGCATGCAGATGCCCAACCCCGGAGGCAAGATAAAATAAAATTTTCTTGAGAGAAGCTAAAGCTTGCAAGTCCATGCCATCATAGTTATTAGAGGAGACTGGTTATGAAAAGCGGCAAACATCAATGATAAAAACAACAGTGCTGCAGTTTATGTTGCTTCGTGGGACTTTCACGTGTTAGGAAACAAAAGACAACCGTTTAACAATCGGAATAAATTAATGCAACGTTTTTATTGGTCAATACAATCAAAATGATAGGAATTCTTTTGAACGTTGTGCACTTTCAGTTCCACAAAAACATATAACAAAGGAGTCTGACGGGTTTCATAACCATTCCACTCAATTAACTATGATGCCATCAAATGAATGGAAATCAACTCATTCCAGTTCTCAGTGAGGCTTTGAATGCATTAGCACTCGTATACACAATGTTGTCACCCACCACAAGAAAAGGAAAACGTTAATTCACTTCAGTGTTCTCCTTATTGCTGGTGAGAAAATCTCAGTCCTGACCCAAGTCCATGATTTTCCCAGAATATGTAAAACTACGACAATCCCAGTTCCTACTCCCTCGCTAGGCAACGTAAATAAGTTATGAAGAGGGGGACTATGATGATTTTGAGGGAGTTCACTATTTTTCAACCGCAGGATTATGGCAGTGGAAGGGGCTTTAAAAAGTTGCCCCCCAAAATAAGACAAGGAGGGCATCAAAAAAGTTTCAACTGATTTTTTTGCTCACAGGATCTTTTAGAACTACTAAGGCAGTGATTTTGTTACCTCTGCGTCCTGCGTCCCTGACGCAAAAAAATCCCCAAAGACGCAAAATTAACCGCCACCCGGTTAGTTCAGTTGGGAGAGCACCAATCTGCCGAGCGGGAGGTCGCGGGTTCAAACCCCGGCCGGACCAATACTCAGCGTCTTTAAATAACTGAGAAGAAAGTGGTGCCTTTGTAATGACATCTGCAAATGGTTAGACTTTCTAGTCTTCTCGGATAAGGACGAAAAACAGTAGGTCCCTTCTCACAGCACTTTCAATGATTTGTTCTTGTGGGACGTAAAAGAACCCACATTACTATTAGAGAAGAGTAGGGGTGGTAGACCCCGGTGGTGTAGTCAACCTTTACGGGTTGTGGGATTGAGTAGGGATGGCACCTCGCATGGGACCTGAGTCCCGTTCGCACCCATTCCCTCTGGGCAGGCCTGTGTCCAGAAAAGCTGGTAAATAAATAAATTAATAAAATAATTCACACGCCAACACCGGGCGAGCGAATGATCTGAAGATGTTTTGTAGATATCCGGTTCGTGTGATTTTGGTTGCTGTTTTTGTGACTGTTCTTTAACAATGCATATTTGTTTTAGTCTTTTTTGTGCTTTACATAGATGGACTACATTTTAATTTTAGTAAACTGTAATGAGGAGTTTTGGAGCCTGTCTTCAGATTAACTGTCTACAGTTGAACCTCTACTCACAGCTACCTCTCCACAACCACCACCTCTCTAGAACGGCCATTTTTTTTTTTGGGGGGGGGGGGGGCAGACAGTCCATACATTGACTCTTGCTTTAAACCTCTCCACAAAGGCCACTTTCTTCTGTCCCCAAGGTAGCCGTTGTGGAGAGGTTCAACTTTTGGTCAACTGTAGTTGCATAAAGTCGTGTGCAATTTCAATTTAGGAGTCATTGTTGTTTGAATTTGGACTCAATGGTTTTAGACTGGGACTCAAGATTTTTCACAAAATGAGCCCCAGTACTCACCATGACTATTTTTAACAAAATCACTGCTGAGGCTCAAAAGTTCATGTTCTACAGTCATGAAAGTATTTTTCCACAAAAGGCTGTTTGACCATCAGTATTGTACTAGCAGCAACCCATGAACCACTTACGCAAAGCTTGTGATACTCTGCTTCTAGCCAAAACATTTTTTTTTTGCTACTTTGCTGCCGCTAGTACAAGATGACAGTGAAACTCAGCGAGTCACTTATCATTGCTCTAATTCTTGATCTCCCTCAGTATGTATTTGGGAGGGACAAAGTTTTGCAAACCACAAACAACTGCCAAATGCCAAATACCTCTGAAGTTTACTGACAATAAGTGGCAAACCCAGAAACAAAACGCTGGGTCACCTAAAGGGGTGACCACCTAGCCTGGTCACACTTCCTCAGTAGTAGGGTCACACTCCTAGCCGGCCCAACTTCTTTTCAAAAAACACTTTGGCTTGCCCTCCCAGGTCAAATTGGTCAAGGCAAGACAATCAGAGCATGGGTGACTGTAATTGGCCTGGAGAAAGGGGGATCTGGGCTGGAAGGGTGGCGCTCAGTTTCATGGCACATCATTTTTTCATAAAAAACAGGACCTTATTTGTGAAATTAAGCTTAATTAAAGGTTAAAGGTTTGTTTATTGTGGAAAAAGCACTTAGCTTACATCCAGCTAGTTTGCAGGCACTCCACTCAAATAATTCTGAAACAAATGATGCAAATATAACATAGCAGGATTAAAAACCCCAACTAGCAGGAGGCTGCACCAATTGGTTATTTACAAGAATGGCTGAGGATTTGAACTCAGGACAATTGAGAACAAATCCAGAAAGTGGCCAGAGCAGGAATCAAACCTGGGACTGCCAGATTGTGAGTCCAACGCGCTAACCAGTACACTCAGCCACACTGCCTCCCCTGTAGCTGGCAATAAATGCTTACAAAAATAGGTGGCGGAAGTACTCCCACAAATTTTAAATAGGTGTCCCAGGGTCAGGGATACCCTATTTACAGGTAAGGCCTAAACCCCAAGAATGACAACATATTCAAGATCAGTTATGGCCATCCTCTTTTCTTTTCGCGTTAAGCATTGTCCGACCGACCCAAATTTTTGGCATTTTCAAAAAAGCATAACGACATAGTTAAACCATTTTTCACTTGAAATAATTCTTTTTATCTGAAAAATTAGTACAGTAACAGCATAGAGAAAAACAGGAACAAAAACAGGAACATTTGTTCACGTATATTGTGTATTTTGTTAATCCAAATATGTGAATGTTAACTTTGAATGTCATCCTGGGGTACCAGGGCCTCCTGTTCTGCGACTTCTTGAGAGTTTTTTTTAGGTTTTTGTTTTTCAATCCGACTGACCGACCCAATATCAGGAAACGCATTCGACACTAAACGAAAAATAAAAAAGGGGGATGGACCAAGGGAAAAACAAAAACCAACAAACACACAAACCATCATTAAATAGTTTTCCTAGTACTCTAAGGGAAAAGTTCAGTTTAAGCAGGTAATTTGTTTCCCGTGTAGCTGGGCATGTATGAACTTGAATTTTAGTTGATACAATAAATTTAGATACACTATCCCTGCATCACAGCATGAACGCAATGCCAACAAGGGAAAAAACAATACCCCATTCAAGGATTGAGACCCTCAAAACGGATAACCCTGCGGCACATCCCCCCCCCCCCTCCCCCCCCCTCCCCCACACTCCCCCCGAGCCCGGCGAATGCCCAGAGCGAATTTATTTCATTAAAGGGAGGACGGGGATAAAAAGAAAAAAGTCCTAATTATGCCTTGTGTAGCTGGGCATTTAGTAACTTTAATTTTTGTTGAAAAAAAAAATTTAGATACACTATCCCTGCATCACAGGATGGAAGCAAAGCCAAAAAGGGAAAAAAACAAACCCCCTTCCAGGATTGAGACCCCCAAAACCGAAAACCCCGCGGCCCCTCCCCCCCCCCCCTTCCGCCCCCTTCCCACTAACTGCCCCTGAGCATGGCGAATGCCAAGAGAGAATTTATTTCATAAGAGGATGTAAGGGAATAAACAGAAAATGTTCCTAATTCTGCCTTTTAAAAAGATTCTGAATTAAATAAAAATGTCTTACCTTCAGCTTAAGCTTCTTGTTTTTTGTTCATGTTGTGGTCTACTCTGTTTACTGGACATGTCTTTACATAATTTGCTTCTGGAGCCATTTCAAACCGTTTTCGCAAGCTTTAGATACCTCTTTGTTTCTTTTTGTGTTTAAAGTACAACTACATATCTATAACTCGCAAAAGCGGCTTTACGTTTTGCAAGTAGCGGTTTAATTCGGAGGACGACGCCATACTGTCACTTTCCGAGTATTCCCGCCATTCCGTTCCCATGAGTCCCTTCGTCGGCTGGGTAATCCCATCATACCTTGCAGTCTTCACAACCACGCTTTTTCCATCCTCCATCTTTGTTTGAGTTCGAGTTTGGTGTGAAATAGCATCTGGATGGCTTAGTTTTAGTTTTAGGTTACTTGACTCAGCCGCCAAAGATTCAGTGGGTAAGGGTATGTTTTAGACTCTAGGTTAAGGGTTTTAAGATGAACGGAGGAGGAGAAATGATCGGCAATGGCGCTATTGAACGGCGTGCAAGTGCAGAACACAAGGTAAACTAGTTAACTCTTTGACGACGTTTTTAGTTTTTTTGGAACTATGAATATTTCCTTCACAGATCCAGTTAGCTTTCCATTTAAGCTAGATCTTTCTACAGGTACATCATTTCACAAATTTTGACCAATCCTGACAGAGTTACCCTAAATAAAAACAAGCAACATTTGGGGAAAAACGCCAATTTTGCTCTTCACGAGTTCAACTAATTAATACCCATGGCAGATAAGATTTGCCCCTTTCCTAAAAAGTAGGTCAGCCAAAGCTCCATGCAAAGGAAAGACGATAACGTGGGTAACAACACAGGCCATCTGAAGAAGAAAGACAAAAGGAAGAGTGCAAGGAACACAAAGACCAAATAGATTTACAAAAAAAGCAAGTTCAAGTCTTGGCTAATGTACACAGAAGCTGCTTAATTACGTCCAATTAGTAGAAAAATATACTCTGAGTGTCGCAAATCTCCTTGCTATCTAACCAAAAACTGGTCCATTAAGGAGGATTTGGTCAAAAAAACATTATTTTTCCCTACTAAACGGTCATCAATCTCCATTGGAATCCTAGGTTAACCTTTTTTTTTTCCCCCGTTATTTATTTTCAACTCTTACCACATAACTGTTTTGAAAACAAATCATGTTTAGAACTTGGAGATGGTGTAAGATCCAGTGGAAAAAGTGAATGGGCAGCATGTGAAGAAATTGATGAAATTTGATATCAGTTAATCATGGATGACCACTCGATGTTCAAGAATTATTATCCTTTGGTTATCATTGCCAGTCAATCAATTGCATTACATTGATCGTCCTTGATTATCAACTTTTGTTGATCAATCAACAAGGCTTTTTACATCATCTGTGATTCTTTGATTTTTGTGCATCAAAATGTAGTTTCAATTTGTGTTTATGATAAAAGATCCAATTTCTTTATCTTGAAGATCATCACCTTAACAAAAAGGTCCCATGTCACTTTACATTTTTTCAGTAATAGATCACAGATGACGTTAAAATGTGTTAAGGAAAAGTGGCACACTACAGCTCGTGTGTCACTGATGTTCTTACTACGTTTTGACATCTTTTGTGATCTATTACTAAACAGATGTACAGCAACATGGAATCTACTCATTTTATACAATGAACAGAAAGCACTGTGCTGACAAATAGTTGTGGTGAATCCTGGGGCTCATCTTGCAAAAAATCATGAGTTCCAGTCCAGAACTATTGGACAAACGCTAAAGGCTAAATAAATAGAATATTTCTGCAGAAACACATGTTCAGATCGATTGATCAACCTTTGCGTCCTACGAGACATCTGTCAAGGGTGTGTCAACTCCATCACTTGCTCAAAGCGAAATAATTACACAAGAATTTTCAAAACTGCAAGTCTTTCATAGTAGTGACACACAACGGCAACCCTTATGAAGATTTCTTCCAGTTTAGGAATTTTCAATTTGCCAAGAATGTTTTTTGTTTCAGTTTCCCCATCTCTATATTTTAAGATCATAAAACAAGATGCAGTAGCATGGTTCGCCGTGCCTTGAAAAGTCCTTGAAAAAGCACCATGTTCTTGAAAAGTCCTTGAATTTTCCACAGAAGTCCTTGAATATTTTTGGAAGCTCCTTGAATGAAAATAACTTTCATTAAAAAAAATGTTTGGTGCAAAGGAATGATTGAAAGCAGAGCAATACACAAAAAGTTTCTTGGTGATCATGAAAGTGTTTTCTTATGATTTCCTGGCATAGTTTATTTTCCCTTATTTGAAGTACCCTAGGAACAGTGTCTTAATGAAGGAAGGTATTGCAATAAGCAAACCCCTTAAGCATTTTAATTTAATTTAAAGGTCTTAATTACTTATTGGTGAAAAGAAGTCCTTGAAAAAAATGATTTTAGTCTTTGAAAAGTCTTTGAAAAGTCCTTGATTTTGCCCAAAAAATTCTCTATGCACCGTGAGTGGATTAAGTCTGATAAATTGGCTTTCCTGTTTTTAGGATGGTGGTATCATTTTCTGGAGTAAAACTGAGCGTGGTATGAAAGCTGAACTTCGCCTACAGCATCATCCATTTGATACTGAATCCTGGGGTGTTTTGATCAGAGAAGCACAGGTATACATGGTATTATTGTAGTGTTGATGATTCCACGGGAGATGTATGTATCTGGGATGTTTGTAAAGGAAAATCATTTCCCTTGTTTTGCCTTTGGTGGTTTATAACCTAGGAATAGCCTTTCCAACTCATAAGTTCTCCTTGAATGTTTATTAGAGCTAGCAGCATGGCCAAGTGGTCAGTACTTTGGATGTTTGGTAATTTCGAAATCCAGCATTAATTTTGAGCCCTGCTCTTTTTAACCTTGGTGGTAAATACATAAACACAAACTCTTTTGCTCAGGGTAGCTACTGAGGTAATATCGTCAGTCATAGTAAAAGAGAATATTGCTTTCAGATATTTGTGCAGCCCATGAGCAATGTTGAGGGTAATTTAAATAAAAACTTATTTTTGTATGGTATCTTTCTTTATCCACATCAATTTTTTTTCTTTACCTTGTACGGTATGAATATCTTCTTGCTTCAAATTTCATTAACAAGTTGCTAAATAATGATTACTTTCTTTTTACAGAATACTCCATTAGAAACTTCAAGAGTACTGTGTGAAAAGCTTGTGAGAAGATTTCCTAATGCTGGTCGTTACTGGAGATTGTACATTGAGCAAGAGGTTTTTAGAAAATTTCTAGTTCATTAAGATATGTTATGTTTTTTACCAGTCTTGTTTGTCTTTCATCCTTAAGCCCATAGACACAATAAACCTTTTTGGCAGTTTGAGTGGTCACATTTGTGCACTGGTGTTACAGCATCAAGAGTTTCCTCTTCCAGTTTATGGTTAATGTCATTGCAAGGGGTCTAGTTGAGATAAAAGGCAACATTTTGGATGCCACCACTGTTTTTCTCCTAAAATGACATCTGAGCAACGACTGCAGAAATTCCATACTGATGATGCGTCACTACTCACTACCCAGAACTTCAAGCCATAGGAATTCAAATCCCATGGATAACAATTTTTTGGTTCCATGCCCAGAGATCATGGGAAACTATCTGTAACAATTTTTTACTTCTGTGAAAATTCATGGGAACCCACTTTTATATCTTTTAATGTAACGCAACAGTTTTCTGGAAACATGTGTTAAACTTAACATACTTTAAAATTAAAGAACATCAGTGTGTACTATTATTTACAAAAAAACTTCAATGTCTATTAAAATGTCAGAAGAAGGTCAATTTAAGTGATAATTGTGTGTGCACTAAAGTGTCAAAAACTCCAGACTCCTCTTCGATCCGTATACTCACTTGAAATGTTCGTTACAGATCTTGTCTTTTCATAAAGAGATTTGGGCCTCATCGTCAGTTTCAATAGTGAAATTGTCACTGAAAGACTACATTCTAATAATGTTTTTAAACTTTAGGAGTCATATATTTTTTTTGTGTCACTGGAAGCCATAACAAACGCCGGTCTTAACTGTTAAAATCTTTCGGGCATGAGTCATCAGAAAAATGGTAATGTTTTTTTACGATTTCGTTTATACACAAGCTGAGTCATAAAGAATTGCTGTACTAGTTAAGAACCCAAGTGAAAAAATACTCTATTTGGGTATTTTTTATCTCTCAGTCTGAATATATCAGGACATGTCAATGGAAAATTATTTTTCGGTTCCATTATTTTAAGATCACGGTACCAGAAATGATCATTACCGTGAATTCCTAGGGCTTGGAACTGGGTAGTGACACATCAGTAGTATGGAATTTCTGCAGTCATTTTTCAGATGTCCTATCGCAGGAAAACCAGTGGTGACGTCTTGAAATGTCAGATGTTTTCTCAGGCTACAAGTGGTCTAGTCCATAGCACTATCCATTGGATATAAGTATCAGGTGGATGGTGATCAACTCTTGAACAATTGGAGACTGGTCTATAATTTTACTAAATTCTCATGACATTAGTTGCAACTCGCACAAATTTCTCACTGCACTAATACTCTAAATGCCACTCAAGTTTCACCAGAAGGAGTGTCAGTGAGTTGACTGACAAGGTGGATTATTGACAAAGAGACTTCAGGTGCATTTGTACAACAGAACTTTAATTTGGTCTGGATCCTTCAAAGAGTGGTATTATACCGGTGACTTTTTTTAAGAAATACTGGAGTTTTCACAGGGCCATAGATGACTATGGTCTTGCTGAAACTCGAGAATTGCTTTGGAAAAGTTATCAGTACAGTGCCACTTTTTTACTGGTCAGGGCCCAGTTTTTCTGTAGTGTAAACTCACCTTTAACAGATTTAAACTATTAACAATTCTTTGTTGCCTCAATCCAGTCAGGTAGGCAGTTAACAGATTAAATGAAACTAAAAATTCATATATTCCCATACTGGTTTGCCCTTGTGGGGGCTTAATAAAGCGGTTTTCAGAATATGGTGTCTTTCATCTCTGAACAGAGATTGACTCTCAAACTGGTTGTGTCGTGTTTCCATTGTGTGCAGTGTGGTTATTTGTCTCCAGTCTCAGTTATTTTATTCCTAGTAATTTTGAAGTGAATATTACTGCCTGCTATTTGACAAAGTTACTGATTAGTTGTGGGCCCTCAGAGAAGTAATAGTTCAGTCACAATGACTGAATGTTGGAATTCCGACTAGACTTCTCTGTTCCTTGCATTACAATCATATCAAGTTGGTAATGGGACAAGCCATGATTGCCATTCTTTTCTTGGGCCATTATATTATGTGTTAACATTTTCATTCTGCTCATCACCACGATGTATTGGAGTTGGGGAATGAGGACAGAATTTCAGAAGGAAAAAAGCCTGTAGTTTTACAATACAGTGTGGAACTGCTGCGATTTCTTTCTCTTCCTGACCCTTTCCCTTCTTCCATGGGGTAGCCGAATGCTAGTGCTACTAATTGCCTGTAGACAATTACCATCTTATCAGAGAGTTTAAACCATCACTTCGGTCCTCCAAAACCAGGATTGGTGGTGATTGGGGATTGACTGAAATGATATTTTTAAGGACTGTGTGGGTGTGGCATGCAACGGTTCCAACAAATATAAAATTCAGTTCACGTACTTGGAATTGCACTAAAAACAATTCCATTTTGTTGGGTATAACACTGTTTCAAAGGAAGAAGAGCGTGACTGATTTCTATAGTTTGATAGATCTTAACACAAAAAGAAATCAGAAGTTTTATTCCAAAAGTAATTAATTTTACTCTGTTGGTTTTATACCAAAAAGAAAAATTTCACTATAGAGCTAAGCTTTATTCAACCAGTTTATGTGCCAAAATGGAGGTCATTAGAGCAGTGCTTCACGCATGACTGTCTCTTGAGCCCTTGTTTGCTAGCTTGCAGATGTGTTTCTTTCTGGTTTCCACAATCAATACCATTTTTTTCTCATATCTTTTAATTTACTTCTTGGGTCAGGATGGGGTGTTCTCAGAAGGTGTGGAAAATCGCCCTTTTGAAATGACCAGTCATTTTTGGCAATGTCATGTTATCAGCAATTATTAGGGTATTTCATTCCTTGAGTAGTGCTAGAACCTGGGTATAATGCAACTCATGACTTCATTACTACCCTATTTAAAAGAGCTCCAACAAAATGTTGAGAAAAAAGGCGAGTTCCTGTTTCATTTTACAGCTTAAAAAACTCCTTAAAACCTCTCTTTTCAAAACAGAAAACAATAATTAAGAACGAATGGTGCAATTGCCTAACCTCCTCCCCCTCCGGAAATGATAGCCTACTGGGAGCCATTTATCATGGAAAATCAAACCATTGTGTAATTTCTACATTCGTTAAAGAATGAGTTGAAGAATTTTATATGAGATCAAATTGTTTTCCTTTGGTGATCACTTATTGATTCTCATAACCTGTTAAGAGAAAATTGATTTTGGCCACTTTTTGGGTTCAAAAGGTTAAGGAACAAAGGCACTTTGTATTCAATGGGTGGTCACAGCCCTGCTGCTAAGGACAACAAAAAAGGCCCCTCCCACAACTGTTATTTCAACTTTTGACATCGACCAGTCAATGACTACACTATCAACACAACTAAAAGAGTGCCTTAAATTCAGTGAAGTTGCCAAGTTTGAGAGTGATGCATTGAAAACTAATAACACTATGGCTCTGCAAAGTCAGAAAATTGTACGGATGTTTTAATAGTGGGGGAAGGTTTGTGCCCACATCCTCCCTCCCCCCCCTCTCCTTGCCTCACCATTAGAAATTCCATCTATTTTGACCCTCAAACTTGGTAAGTTATTAAATTCTTGGGCAACTGTTCCAACAGTGTTAATGGATTATTACTTACTGGTTCAAGTCAACAATTTTCCAAAAAAAGTGGAAGGTCTAAGTTTAATTTTGTTGAGGGTAAGAGTCACTCAAGTTAGTAGATGAGATTGACCCTTTCTTGTCAGTCTTTAACGTCATTGGCTTCTCCGCAGTACGCAGCTTTTGCACTTGCCATTTGTTTCATGACAATCTGAAAAAAGATAATGGGAAAGTACTAATGTGCATGTTATCTCAAGGGCATACTTCATGGAGTATGAAAATCGTGCTTTTCAAAGGGCGCATTCCTTTTGGACAATCCGGATACTGAATACTGATCCGAGATCACTCAGATCATGGAATGTCAAATGAACAGATGAATTCTTTTTCCGGAGTAGATTCTGGACACTTCCTTTGATGTGCTGTGATCTGCAGGGCATTCACTAGGCATCGGAGATAGGAGAATTCTCTGTTTACTATGCAAAATTCTGTGGCTAATGTTCAGTAGCCTGTGGCTACTTTTTATTCAGATGTGGAGCCTCTTTCAAAATATTCTCCTGTAATGTTACACCTTTCTCCTGCTACTAGAATTAATGAAAACCCTGGATCTGAGTAACCTAGGATCACTGATCTCAATCTGGATGATCCTAAAGGAATGCATCCAAAAACTTAATTGTCTCTAATTGTGTAAGGGGGTGTTCCACAGCACCTGGAACTTGATTGGCAGGGGAATTTTGCAGATCTGCGAACACCAGATGACTGTGAAATTTAGTAAAAAGGGTTAGGAAACTGAGTGAGTCGAGATTCAAGTCAGTTTGCCCAGTATAATGACTGTAAATGGAACCTGATTCACTCAGTTTCCTAACCCTAATCTCTACACTTCAGAGTCATTTGGTGTTTGGCAGTCATTTGACATTATGCAAAATACCTGTACCATATCTTGACAAGCCACAGTCTCCCTGGTTTTTTTTATCTTGGATTCTGAAAACTTTAACCTCTGAAACAAGAGCCTTATCAGCATGTCTCAGGTTTCACTATCTATCTCTTCGTTAGGAAGACGTGATGTTTGTAGTATGTAGAATGAATATGCACTGTTTCATTGCTTTCTTTCAGATGAAAAATAAGAACTATGAACAAGTAGAAAAGGTAATAAGACCTCTTTGAACCTAAATTTTTGTGTTATGAACATTTTGTTGAAACTGGTCACCAAACACTTAAAGAAATTTATAATCCATTGTCGGGACTTGTTATGCAATGTCCTGTCAAAGTGTCAGAGGGTGTGATTCGAGGGGGACTACCACATGAAAGTGACAGGGATGCTTATTGTCTCGCTTTGGGGTGTAAAAAGCAGATTTTGGTCTCCTTTAGGGTGTTTGGGATGGAAAGTCACTATATTTGCCCATTCAGGTATCGCTCAGTTCTGTGCATAAAGAAATTTGAAAAAAAAGCCTGACACAGACCTCACAGAAATCTCACTAAGGGGTCAGTTTAAGCTTTAGCCACACCCACATTGATCTCCCTTAGGATTTTAAATTGAATTTTGTGACAAGCATCCCCATCACTTATATATGGGAGGACAACGCCCCCGGGGGTGGGATAACTTAAGACTCTTCCCCAGCACTGAAAGAGCTGTACACTGTCATTAAATGTTAACAAATTATTACCTTCAAAAAGGGTATCTCTCTTCCATGCATTGTAGTACACTCTGATTAAACTGCAAGTTGTGTGAAACATTATCAAATTTAAAGCTTTTATAGCTAGCGTGAATGTGAATATGGAAGCCATTTTGAAAGAAATTGAACTGTTTTCTGAATACTTGCCTCTGAATTGCCCTTTGGAAGCTTAAACCCAAAGCGACATTTGTATTGTGCTAATCCAAGCATCAAAGAAAAATCCATTTCAATTATTTTTCGATTCCCAAAATCTCTGAGTTTAGATGGCATGGACAAAACCTGGATTGGATCAATCCTTCCAACACTATCCCTAACTTTTTGTCATTAGTGACTTACACAAGGTTGATCTGATCCAGGTTTTTTTGACACCTGAATTTGGAAGTCTGTATGGGATATGTTGTTACTTTCTTGAGAACTTCGAAAGTCTTGAGAATACCTTAGGAGATCTTTGAATTAAAAAAGTACTTCATTATCCCCTTCCCCATGGGGCTTTTCAGGGAAAAAGAAAGAAACAAATTTAAGTGGAAAATAAGGTTAAGAATGCCAACTGGCAGGAGGCAAACCAGTTGGCTATTTACAAGCATGGCCAGGGATTTGAACTCTGGACAACTGAGAACAAATCCAGCTAGCAGTCAGGGCGGGACTTGAAACTCAGAGCCTCCGGATCGACTAGATTACAAGTCTGGTACTGCTTTAACCACTCAGCCATGCCATGGGGGTAAATTAAACCCCACTTTACGGACACACGATTAATACAGACACCTCTTTATTACGGACAGTAATAGCTTTGTCCCGTGGGAAAGAAATTCCGTTACATTTTCTCTAAATTCAATCTGCTTTATACGGACACCCCGTCAATACGCACACTTTCTATGGCCCTCTTATTGTCCAAATCAACACGGTTTTACTGTATTTTTGAGTGCCAGTTCCCAGTTTCCCTTGGGTGTGGCTTTGGACACGTCCATTCAGATAAGATCAGGTCCTTGTCGAAGAGGGCTTGTGTTTTTAAAACAAATATATTGCAGACCTTTCAGGGGCACCCAACGTCAGTTTTTGGAAAATATGTTTGTTGTAAAATTTCTTGCTTGCCTGCCTCTCCTGTGATTTTCAAGCATCTAAAAAACGGTATAATTGCCCATTTTTACCGCATTTTTACCCTAAAAAGGTCACCTAGAATTTTCAGGAGACTTTTTTCTGGCTGAAATTTTCGAAAAGTTTTTTGATCAGTAAGCTTTTGTTTTGGCTGGGCTGTGCTGGTGACCTCAATATCAGTGCTGTCAACTCTCCGGGATAATCTGGGAGACTCCAGATTTGGACTGTATCTACCAGTCTCCAGATTAGAGTTCAAAATCTGCCTGATAATTGCCCAAGTTTGCCATTTCTTATAGACTAGACTCTCCGACCATAAAATTTTAAAGATGTTGCATTGTTTGAGCTATTTTACTGCTAACATGGAACATTCCCTCATACACTCCACCATCCCATTGTAATTTATGCAGTAACGTGGCTTCTTATGAACTGTTTTATGGGGTATATAGATCAGTCGGAGTCAACAAGTATTTTTTGCATAGTCAAATGAAATCATTTTCCGTGCAATATGACATCATCTATCATCCCTTCCCTATCAGTTCTCAATATTTGAAGGTGTGGGGGGTTGACAGCCCTGCAATAGTTTCTGGAAAATGGCAACTCTAGAATAGGGAGGGTTTTGGGAAGTTTGGTCCAGTATAGAGTATTAGAATATAGGGGAGGTTAACTACGTCTGGTCAAGGCAAAAGGTTCTTGGGTCCGAGTTGTACACCCCCACCCAAGTTCATAAAGTCCCCCCCCCCCCACCGCTGGGAGTGGGGGGTTGAGGACACATACACTCGTAAAACCTACCTTACTAATCTTCAACCTTTAATTTCCTTTAAGGTATTTTAACACTGATCTTTTTAATTCCATAAATTCCAGTTAACCGTTTTCTCCATACAGTTAGGTAATCAAATGAATCTTGGGGTTTTTCACTATTTTGGTGCAAGAAAAAATTTAAGATGGATGCAATTCCTGTACCCGTTTAATTTCCTTTAATTTTAAATGGAGTCCACACCCACCTCATGGGGCTTTTCCACTTCTGGTAAAATTTCTGTCTTGATAATGGTTATTACTTCCAGTGAGGACCTAAATCTTAACCAGTTCCTGTTGTTGATTGGTTTTCAGCTTTTTCAGAAATGTTTGATCAAGGTGTTAAACATAGACCTTTGGAAGTGCTACCTGTCATACGTTAAGGAGACAAAAAGTTCTCTTCCAAACTTTAGGTAGGCTTGCCAACATTTGTACTTTTCGGGTAATGTTCTTCCCAACTCACATGTGTTAACATAGAAGTTTTATATGCATTACTAACTAGACTGAAACGTTTGACAAATACCACGCCATGGGCAAATATTTTCTGTTTTATCAAAACCAACACCAATAATTTGCTTATATTTACACACAGAAGAAAACTATGGTGCTTAGAACATTTTGGAACCAAGGCGTTGTTAGGGGGGACTCTCACATAAAATTGTCAGGGATGCTCACTGGAAATTACATTTAAAGCTCTAAACAGGGCCATTCTGGGCTTTGCTCAGGCTTTATTTGACCCCTACAGGAGACCGTACTCCAACAAAGCGTGATGTCATTGCCTTTTTCTGTACCCGCAACCCTAGGTGATACCGTTATGGCCAGAAATATTGGCATTCCATCATGAATACCCTAAGTGACACCAAAGTCTGCAATTTCTACTCCTCAGTGATGAGGCAACAAGCATTCCCAGAAGTTCAACTTGACATTTACCTTGTAGGAGGGGGGGGACTCCCTTTATTATGAAAGAGAAGGGATGTGTGGCAATTGCATTAGGGGTGTAAATTGCAGGCTTTGGTTTCACTTAGGGTGTTCTGGACAAAAAGTCAATATTTTACCCATAAAGGTATTTCTCAGGGTTTTGTGTACTAATAATAAACTAAGGCGGCTGTTGTACTACATTGAAGACAACGTTCAATTTTAACTTTTTCGCACAGTTTGAATCAAAAATAATCTGGAGGTTGCGAGTTTGATTCCCAGGTCTGACATTAAATCCCTGTTTTGTTTTCTTTCCTTTCCTTGTAGCTTTAAGTAGCTTTAAATACCAGTCCAATTCCAGAGCACTGGTGGAAAGTGTGGGGTAAAGTGTGCTCACCATCAGGCTCAGATTTGTCAGTCTATTATGAGTGCTGTTACATGCACCCTGTCAGCAAACCCTTTCTTTTACTTGCTTGATTTTGGCATACTCAAGGAAGACTCTGCCTCATGAATCGATTAAGGTCTTGGTTCAGCATGCGTGACATGTTGCTAGGATATAGTTTCAAACCCAGGCTAAATAGCCATGCAGTTGCAGGCACAGCAGGCTCAGCTATGATCATCGGTTTATCAATAAACGGCTGCTTGCACCCAAATTAACCTGTTTGAAGAGAGAAAGCAAGATTGACCAGGTCATAAGTTTAGGCTGCAGAGACCTCAAGCTTGACGCAATTTTAAAGGCAGAGCCTCCTTTTCTCCTCCTCGCTCAAGAAGACAAAAGGAGACTCTGCTTGCAGGTTGTATTACAGTGCGACTGGGAAAACCATGAATACTTGAAATATTGAGGAATGTTTATTGTCTTACAATCAATCACAGCAAAGATCAGGACGTGTGCAAGCCACAAAACCACAAACTAATTAACGTTTTTGCGTGCGGTTCAGTTTCCTCAGGCCTGATTGGCTTTTTTCTTGCACCACAATAATATTCCCGAAATATTTCTGGTGTTCACGGTTTTCCCGGTTTGACTGTCTAAAAGTTACCGAGTGACGTCAAAAAAATACTTCACCCTTGGGTTAAACTTAACTGTCAGTGTACATAAAAACAGAGAAACTGAGAGTTTCTTTGAAGATTTCTGTTGATTATCATATGTCTCTTTTGCATTTTTGGCACTAGTGTGACTAGAGTGGGCAATAGGCGTACTTAACAATTTGTAAGCTTGAAAGTCTTACACTATTGTTCATACTGCAGAGATAAGATGCTGCAAGCATATGAATTTGCCCTAGATAAAGTTGGACTCGATTTCAACTCATACCAGGCAAGTGAAATGTACTATATTAAGTTGACACTACCTGTAATTATTAAATACTTTTAAAAAGAAAAATTGAAGGTGGCTTTTAACATAGAAAGTCTAAACCCAACAGACTAGGAAAAATGTGTTTGTTCAATGGGAGTATGTTATTTTGTGTCCTTTCAATGCTCTGGCGTTAAATGAGGCCACTGGGCACAAATGCCTAAAACCAGTTGAATAGATAAATTATTTATAGATGATCACCAAGAAGAACATCCCAACATAAGTATAATTATGAGATTTCAGTGTTTTGAGCTAAGCGTAAAGGTTTAGTGTGTTGAATATCTGTAATTATATGGAGAGCTTTGTATGGTCAGTCCATACGGTGGTTGATGAAACACTGACACGCCGCCCAGTCGATGGACTACCCCAATGGGCTATCCCATATGGACTTCCTTGTGAATATACTATAATGGTACACGAGGTAACTACCAGTAAAAGTAATAATGAAATAATTTCAAAAGGTAATCCATTGGGGTGTATAGACAGGGGGTCAGTTTTTTGCCAACGACTCAATCCACAAAGCTGTCCTATTTGAAAAATTTTTGAAATCCCAAAGTTGACTTTCCTTTTCTCTAACTGTGCTCAAATTTCTCATTGTGTTGCTCTTTCATGAGGTAGGGACCTAATTAATGTTAAACTTTCATACCCAGTCCCCTGCTCATTTACAAGTACTTACAGGTATTCTAGTGGCAGTTTTACTGTGAAGGTGTTTGTTATGACTGGATTCCACTGTTATTTATGTTTTTACTGCCATCAGAGTAAATGTCAGAAATTACTATCCAAATGACTATAAATAATGCTTTTCAAATGACTCACCATTTTTGTTTTTGGAATGCACAGGTCTGGGTTGACTTTGTGAATTTTCTGAAGTCGGGGTAAGAATTAAATATTAAATAATTAAAATTGTTGCTTTAAATGGTAATCATTTCATTTTCCAGTTTGTTAGTTAGTTAGTTTCTTTGTTTTATTTTTTCTACGTAGTTTCGTTTTACATCTCCTGATAACGCTTGTCATGATATGTTATCTTTTAGTGAAGCAGTTGGAAGCTATGCTGAAAATAGGAAGATCATCACGATAAGAAAAGTTTTTCAGGTACTGTCAGTGGATGAAACACCCCCACCCTCCCAAAATAATAAGGGATAATTCTTTTATATTCAATATGCCTTCAGCAGTAAAAAGAGTTATGAATCCCCCCCAGAAAACATGCACAAATGACATATTTTACCGCCAGCCTCTATGTAGCTTCCTCAACCTGATGAAGAAGCACTGGAAAAAATAATCCCCTCTAATTTAACAGCTGTACAATCATGTCACTGTGATATTTTTTTGCTCATTCCAGAGAGCTGTGGTGACTCCAATGCTTAATTTAGAAGCTTTATGGAGAGAATACAATGCTTTTGAGCAGGTGAGAGTTTTTTAGTAACTCATTAAACTTACTAGATACATTAGCTGTTTGTTTGTTAGCTTTTTTTCAAGCTTTGTTGAAAACTTTTAATTTCAGCAGGCAGTAATGTAAGTGGGCTCAAAAAGATATCATTACACATTTTTGTTAATGGCAATCGTGAACAAAATAGTCTTGGGACAAATTTTGGATTTGTTGGGCATCTGTTTTGGCCCAGAATGTAAACTACTGGGCTGCTAGTAATTGTGTGACAACTCATATGCCTTGTCAGAACTGTGTGGCCTGGTCTAAAGTACAGGTCACATTCCACAGGTCAAGAGTGCAGGTCACTGCTCCATCAATAAATTACCAAACCACACAGATTCCCCTTGATCTAATGGAGCATTTGTTAAGAGATTATAGGGCTAGGAGACATGTCTTTTAATGGTATTAACTTATCTGTATCATTGGGACCTGTACTCTGACTTGAGGAAAAGTGACCCGTATTTTAGACCTCCCGCAACTGTGGTCACATTGTGGGTGGCTTCTTGTGAAATGCTGTTCATTTTGGTATATAATTTTATGGAGCCAAAATGAAAAAATAAGGACAATTATAATAATAATTGTAGAACTACACACATTTTAGGCATTGCAGATGAAATGTTACCACTAGATATTTCCAGCAACAACAATTTGCTATTATGTTCCCTACAAATTGTTATATTGCATATTCAGAGTGTGAACAAGATGTTGGCCAAGAAGCTGATTGATGACAAGACTAGAGATTACATGAATGCCAGAAGAGTGGCTAAGGTAATATTAGATAGACATCATAGTTAAAGGTAAAGAGGCAGAGAAAACTCTGAAAAGTCTTGTTTTAGAATTATAGGAGAGTTTTTTCAGCAACGTAAAGGTGAAAATTAGAAGCTGCAAGAAAAGCTTTTTGTGATGTTATAGAAACCTGAAGCAATACACCGATTAAGTCATTAACATATTCTACAGACTACTGTCAACGACTTACTTTAGAAAGCTGGTTTACTTACTTAGAACAAATGCCACTGAATTGTAGCCAATAGTTACCAGTGCCGTACAAACGACTTATTGACGAGATCAAGCAGAACTAACTACGAGAGAACGACTGGAGAACTGACAATTTGACTAACAATAGACGACTGTTTAACTGTGACAACAGATGTATCAAAATGCACCAATTACTGATTAGGAGTCTTCATAACCAATAACATCACGGCTTAACTGGCAGACGACCAATAACATTGCGACGTAGTTGACCAGTCAGATCAATAACCAGAATATAATACCATCAACTGACTTGATACAACTCACTTTGACTCTGGAGATGACTACCGCACAGGTTGTCGAAACATCAGTCCCTGTCAACAACAACATTCCTTTTCAGGACTACGTTCACGCGGACGATCAAACTCAACCTACTTTTGGAAGACATTCATTATTAAAATGGAACATTTCATCAGAGTTCATTTGAACCAAGGAACATTATTTACCAAGACAGAATTTATTTCAGTTGTTGCCGCTCTTTCTTGTTGTGCATGTTTTAAGAAAAAGTTTAGAATAGTTATACTCATTAGTCATTAAGTTTATTCTTTGATGAGCTTTGTACCAGGTACTTTACATTGTGCAATGTACCCATTTTCTTATTATCTCATTTCTGTTTGTCACTTTGTAAACAGCAGTAATAGTAATTGCCTGTCAAAGCAAAACACAATCAGGCATCACAGACTCAAATTTCTTCCCTTTTTGAGTATTTTTTGTATTTGGTCCTATTCCTCTGGTCAATTTATAAAGCTTATCATGGTTCATTTAATGGCATAGATTCATTTTAGGCCATTTCTGAAGACACCCATTTAAACTTCCTTTTCTTGAATCTTGCTAATATCTCTGACTTTGCTAAACATTCCCAGGAGTATGAAATGAAAAAATATTGTTTCTGCAGGAGTATGAAGCTATGACTCGGGGACTTATTAGAGGAAACCCTTCTGTTCCTGTTCAAGGAAGTGCAGAAGAACTGAAACAGGTATTACTGACTTGTGACTTACTTGTAGTTTGAGTATAATTAATTTTTTTTACATTTTTAGTCTTTTTTTCATAGTTGTTTTTCCTCACCAATTCATTATAATCTTGTAGGTTCCTTGTTCCATAACCATGGCCCTATTTGGCATATTTTCCCTTTTTTTATTATTTTATTATTTATTTTTATTTATTTATTTATTATGTCATATTTATGTATTTGTTATAAAAAGTTTTCTTTTTGTTTTGTTTTTTTGCTCTTTTTTATATCTAGCTACAAATCTGGAAGAAGTATATTGCCTGGGAAAAAAGCAATCCATTAAGAACAGAGGATACAGCCCTCCTTACTAAAAGAGGTATGTTATTTACCCTTCACTTTTTTTTTTCAGCCTCGTATGTCTATGTTCTAACCCATGCAAAATTACCCAAATGTGTTGTCATGGAAACAAATTGAAGGCAAGGTAACATTGCCTGGTTTTGAATTACTTGTCCATGAGGAAAAATGTTTTAGAAGCTTGTCTTCCATTTGTTGTTGTTGTTGTTATGGTGGTTGTTGTTTTGTTGCTGTTGATAATTTCTTCCCAAAAAATCTTTGATGAGTCAACACATTGGATTGTGTGGCAATATGTAATTATGTTGAATTTCCAACTATTTGGGTGTTTTCCCCCTACAAGGTGCTATTTAGTCATGTATCAGAAGAACGTATGACCTCATTTCGTTTAAATGGAACAGTTTTAACTTAATCTGAATGGCTATATACACTACATCTCACTTTTCACAACTGTGGAGTTATTTCATGTAAGTATTATAAATTTACCTGTAGTTCCTTTTCTGTTCTAATGACATTCTAACTGGTCTTATTGCAGTGATTTATGCTTATGAACAGTGCCTTCAAACAATGGGATTTCATCCTAATGTGTGGTGTGAAGCTGCACTGTACCTGGATCAAGTCAGTCAAAAAATGATGGATAAAGGGGTGAGTTAGTCAGAGGGTGTGGCAAAAGAGGGCTGATGATGGATAATGGAGTGAGTTAGTTAGAGGGTGTGGCACAAGAGGGCTTATGATGGCTAAAGGGGTGAGTTTGTTAGAGGGTGTGGCACAAGAGGGGTTATGATGGATAAAGGGGTGAGTTAGTCAGAGGGTGTGGCACAAGAGGGCTGATGATGGATAATGGAGTGAGTTAGTTAGAGGGTGTGGCACAAGAGGGCTTATGATGGATAATGGGGTGAGTTAGTCAAAGGGCGTGGCACAAGAGGGCTGAGTGATTTACACCGCACAATTGTGATGATAAAGACAATTACTGCTTATTATTTTTGCACTCTTTGCATCTTTTATTGCAGGACATGCAGGGATCTAAAGTACTGAGTGATGAAGCAGCAAACATTTATGAACGAGCCATCAGTGGACTGATGAAACACAGCATGCTGATTTACTTTGCATATGCTGATTTTGAGGAGGTAAAAAATGTTTTCCAACCTGTCTGTCTCTGCTCGAGATTCAGCTGAACATTTCATAGGGTCAGCAAGTGAAATCTAGTGTATGTTGTTTCCTGCAATGCAAACTCAAGTATGCCCCTTTGGGTTCTCTGTAAGTTATGTCCAAGTTATTCACTGTTACGTATGTTTATTAAGTCGTTGTTGTAGTAACTGTTTTCTTTTAAATATATTTACAACATTTTCGGTATTAGTTTAAACAAGCTTACTGTATTTTGAATATACCCTCTTTGTTTGACCTAAGTCGTTTTGAGAGGTTGTTATATGGATGAAATGTGTTAGTTTTTTTAATTAGGTAGTTTTGCATTAAAAGCTGTTTCCATTATTTATAATTATTATTTTTCTTACGAAACAGGGGAGAATGAAGTTTCAGAAGGCAAAGGAAATATATGAGAAATATTTAGTCTTGGAGAATATTGATCCAACATTGGTAAGTTACTATTTTTGTCAACAGGAATTTTACCTCAGTCAAGGCATAACATTTGGTAATTATCTTGTGGTCAAAGACAGGTTTTAAATTAATGGCCTCTGTATACAGTCAAACAGTAAAGCATGTACAAATCCCCGTCTGCTTAAGGTTGTGCATAAAGAAACATTAGAATGATTGCAGTCCACTTTTTCTCTGAGATCTGTTGAGATCTAAGTCACAGTGAGTGTATATTAGGACAAAAATGTCCTTAGCCAAAAAATGGACTGAGGCATTTAACTGTAGCTGTCTTGTGCTACCGTGGTAACTTTGGAGAACATAAGAGACTTCTCGCAGTCTTAGAAGCATTTATATGTAAAACACAAATGCCATGATACTGTGTTTGAGTATGGCCTCCTTTAGGGGTCAAATAAAGGTTAAAAAATATAGTTTTCACCAAGCATCCCTGTATCTTTCATATGTGAGTCGCACGCCCCTCCCCACCCCAAACCACAGAAAACGTTTTAGAAGCAAAAATACTTTGTAAACAGGGGTTTTTGTGTTTGTTATGAAAAAATCTTCATCCGGAAATTTTATTTACTTTTTATTCTTTCTTTTTCTATTTTTAAAGGCTTACATCCAATACATGAAATTTGCACGACGGGCAGAAGGCATTAAAGAAAGCCGAGCTGTGTTCAAGAGGGCAAGAGAGGATTCTAGAACAAATTTTCATGTGAGTTTCAAAATAACTAGCAGGTGCAGGTTTCATTTCTTGTCCAAATTTGCAGATGTTTATTTGAAGAAAATAGAATTTTACGTCAGTATGGGTAGTTATCTAGAAAGGATATTCTAGGATTACAACAACATAGTTCTTTCATCTATCCAATGTGTTAGGCAAATTAATCATTCACTTTTTTTTTACCGTCCTTCTGTGAGTTTTGTTTTTATCATATGGCAGTTAAGAGTACATCTGAAAGAATGTTTTTTGTGAGAAACTTTCAAATCCGTTGTGTGTTACCTTCCAGGTTTTTATTTCTGCTGCTCTTATGGAATATTTTTGCAGTAAAGTAAGTCATACAGTCTGGTTACTTGTAATTCTCTGGTTAAATGTAAATTGAAACTGAAAAAAGTAACAGACTGATGTGTACTGGATTAATTAATAATTATGTCCATGATCATCACTTTTTAGGACAAAGCTGTTGCATTTAAAATATTTGAGCTGGGCTTGAAGGTAAGACTGGAGTCTGACAGTTTGTTGAAATTCACATACTTCTACCCCAGGTGCATGTGATACTCAAACCTTTTGTTTGTTTGTTTTTGTTTTTGTGGTTGTTGTTTTTTGTTTTGTTTTTTCTGTTCTGTGGCTGTAAATGAGCTGAGTTTAGAATGCGACAATACAAAATTAACCTGTTTTTACTTTTTGAATCTTTCTTTGATAGAAATACATGAATGAAACAGACTATGTGTTGGCTTATGTAGACTATTTGTCACATCTAAATGGTAAGTTATTAGACATGATGTGCTGTTAAACGTACAATTTTCCATTGCATGCACCATCCAACTTTCCTCCATGAAAAGTGTGTTAACTGTGGTCATTGTGCTGGCTTATGTTGACTATTTGTCACATCGAAATGGTAAAATATTAGACCTGATATGTTGCTAAACATGCAATTTTGCATTGCATGCATCATCCAGCGTTCCTCAATAAAAGTGTGTTAACCCCCCCTGTGGTCTTAACAAACCACCTCCATCCTCCTTACGTTTGACAATAACACAGATCTCAACTTTTGTTACAGATGACAACAACACAAGAGTGCTGTTTGAAAAGGTTCTTAGTTCCATGCCAAAAGAAAAAGCTAGGTACCTTAATTTACAGTGATTTTGAGGGTTGCATTACTAAGTATTCCACAGGGTTTTCAATAACAGCTGGCGGCTGGCGAAATTTGTCGGCTATTTCACATGAACTTGCTGCCTAATTTTCTTTGGAAATTATCCCAAAAAAGCCCAAATTTAGTGTTCTATTCAAACACTCTAATTTTTGCTCCAGAATGCTGGAAATGCACTCTAAGAGGCCCAGATTCCAAAATTTTTCCAGGACCCTCCTAGTAGTACTCAGTAAGTCGTGCCTATGCCGCGAGTTGTTTATTTATCCACCTACTCCAAAGCTTTTGCCACGTACTTAGAACCTTATTGAAAACCCTTATTCTAAGTTGTTTAATATGCTTTGAAAATGTTTTTGAACAACGACATATTTTTTTCAGTGACGTATGGGGAAAATTCCTAGACTTTGAGGGCACAAGTGGTGATTTGGCCAGCCTAGTCAAGGTGGAGAAACGAAAACTGGAAGAGTACAAAGAGGTGAAGATTAATTAAGCAGCTTGTTTGTAATTTATCAAGTTGAGTTTCATCCTTATCAGTAGACCACTTTTATTTCCAATGTGTCCTCATTTTCTCAAAACAAAACTTTTTTGAGAGCATTCTTTGACTGATACTTCACTTGATAGGCCGGGGGAGGTTTAAGGTAGGGAGGAATTTTAAAGAAAAACAATCTACAGACAGGAAAGTTTACAAAAATATTTTCTAAAACCTTCTGATTCCCCATACCCCATACCCACACACCCTCTCTCGTACGACTTCCACGTAAGAAAACCCAAGAACATTTCTTATTTTGAGTATTATATTTTGCTGTCTTTTTTCAGGAGTTAGAGGGCCTTGAAACATCATTACTTGTAGACAGATATAAGTACTTGGATCTTTTCCCTTGCTCTCCTCTGGAGCTTAAAATTATGGGCTATGTGGTGAGTCAATTGTTGGTTTGTTCTTTAATTGCAGGGGCACCATGTACCTCTTCGTACTTTACTATTAATTTTTATTTGCAGTTGTCCTCATGACTATCACTGTTTTTCAACTTATCTTTGTGTTGTTTGTAACCAGTTTATCTGTTAAGGTCATAGTGCTTGTCAGAATTCATCATAACAGTAACTTTTCCTACAAGTTTAAAGCCTGACTGCTTTGTCCACAGACATCAATAATTTATTGATAGCATTTTCATCTTGTAGGGTTCCACAAGGCAAAGCAGTAGTATGCCAAGTACACTCTCCTCTGGAACCATCCCAGATGAGCAGAGTGAAGAGAAACCAGCTAAATTCCCTAGACCAGATGTATCACAGATGACACCATTCAAACCAACGGCTAGTGCTGGTAAAAACGTCTAACATCAGAATTTTTGAGTTTGTGTGTCGGTTAGAATGGGAATTGGACAAAGGCATAAACAACCCAGCCAATCTATTCAGAACAGAAATGGTTTTTAGAATATTGCCATTCCAGAAAGTTTTTTTTTCTATGGAAAGTGGCTTTTCATCCATTAGTGATACTTTTATCATTTAGATTGTCTGTCTGTCTGTCTGTCTGTCTGTCGAAATGTTGTAACACAATACGGGAGCAATTTTGCTAATATTTAATACTAGTAGGTGTGGAAATCTCATGTATGTCACTTGACCACTGAAAGTAGCTCCTTGGCCCAGTTGTTCGAATGCCAATATTAGTGGTAGTCTGCTACACAGCCGTTTTTAGTGTCGTCACTATATTAGTGGTTACCCAGGGTTAAATTTTTTCTCCATGTTTCTTTTTCTTTTGTTGAAAAGCACTTTCTTGGTTAAATTTCTCTATTCTTTTTGGAGGATCTATCATCAAATTATAGACAAAAAGAATTTAACTGAATTTTCTTTTTAAACTTTTGTATCTGAATTCAAGTTTCGCACTAACCCTGGGTTATACTAACCTTGACTCAACTATCTGCGAAAACAATTATTGAAAATTATTGAAATACATTATTTGAAAGGAAAGACCAGTGTTCATATCACATGTCTAATTACTGTACACCAGACAAAAGTGTTATCCATAGGGTAGAAATTTATTCAGAACACATCTCAGGCCTGTTCCCTTTGCTTACTGATTTCAGTCTACCAAGTAATTCCAGACATCTCCATGACTTATTTTCGCCATTGCTTGTGTGTTGATTTTTTGCAGCTGGTGTTCACTCCGTACCTGGAGGAGTCTTTCCCATGCCTCCAGCAGCAACACATCTTTTGACCATGTTACCTCCCCCATCGTGCTTTCAGGTAAATGTGACTACTTAGTTCAGCCCTACCCCTTAACTCCCAAGCCGCGTGATCAACATCAGTTTTCAATAGCAATACACAATCAATTGAAAAGCTATTGGAATTAATAATTTGATCACCAAAGTGAAAATGCCTTGATCTTTTCTCAAATTCTCTCAACTAATTATTTAAGGTAATGTATGGAGATCAGTCTGGAAAATTTGATGATGAAAGGTGATGTTACACGAGACGATTCACAATGACGATTTTTAGCACAACACTTTGTTGCCATGTTGGAACAATGTTGAAACTTGTGAAAGGTTTGAACCGAGGAGTCATTTCAAAAGTAGGTTGAGTTAGATCGTCCGAGTGAACGTAGTCCTGAATAGGACTGTTGTTGTCGACAGTGACTGACGTTTCGACAACCTCAGCGGTAGTCATCTTCAGAGTCAAAGTGAGTTGTATCACATCGCACCATTTTAAGATGAAACATAAAATTGACATCAAATTGACTGACTGAATCGTAGCCAACAGTTACTAGCGCCGTACAAAAGACTTATTGACGAGATAAAGCAAAACTAACTACGAGAGAACGACTGGATAACTGACAATTTGACTAACAATAGACGACTATTTAATTGTGACAATAGACGGATCGAAACTCACCAATTACTGATTACGAGTCTTCATAGCCGATAACAGCACGGCTTAACTGACAGATGACCAATAACATCGCGACGTAATTGACCAATCAGATCAATAACCAGAATATAATACCATCAACTGACGTGATACAACTCACTTTGACTCTGAAGATGACTACCGCACAGGGTGTCGAAATGTCAGTCACTGTCAACAACAACAGTCCTATTGAGGACTACGTTCACCCGGACGATCAAACTCAACCTACTTTTGAAATGTTGGAACTCTTTGAAACAATGTCGCAAGAATGTTGTAATGCTGCGTTGTGCTAAAAATCGTCGTTGCAAATCGTTCCGTGTAACATCGGTTTGAAAGGGTTAATTTAGGGGTACAATTTATTATTTATTTTGTGGAATGGTGCAGCTTATGGCGGTAAAAATCTGAACTGACCACACTATTAGGTCATAGGACATTTTGAAGCAATGGACGCTATTGGATAGCCAACTAAACCATTTTTTTTTCAGTTTTGAACAATGAGTGCATGTTGCTGCCAGCTCTTACAGGGTTGCCAAAAACAGCAGGCGGCCGGCACAAATCACCGCCTACGTCACAATTTTAGCTAGCTACTCTGCTGTCCTATTCCTCTAAATTTTAAGTATAAAAGATGACAAATTCATCCACCTTCTTCAACAATGACGCTGTCTTTTTCAACACTTTCCTGCCCTAACAAGTGAAATTAAATTAGGGCAGCCTGCGCCCCAAATAACGATGTTCGGGTAGCTTAAAGAGGCGTTGTCAGATTTTTCCGATGACCCAAGGCCACCCCCCACCCCCCCATCACTTTTATACAGAAAATCCCTCTCACGCTCTGGGAGGTCAGGCCCGAACTGCAACTTACCAGTACAATAGAAAATGGTGGTTTGACATGTCAGACATATTATTTATTGCTTTGGGTTTGTTTGGCCCTGTCAGTGTGTAGAAGCGTGCATGGAAAAATTCTTTGGGTATTATCCATTAGGGATAACTGATTGTAATAACCAGACTAATAACATTGCACTGTGAAAATCTGACATGACTTTTAGTAGTCCTCTTCAGAAATACCAGTGCTACATTAATCAACAAATGGACTGACATAATTACTTTTATCATGGAAAATGTGCTCTCCTCATCGTTGAACATTGTCATATTTCATTTGGTCAGTAAACAAAGCTCCTTAAAATTGTATTGACAATAATATTTCTTATATTACTGATTAAGACGTATATCTCATAGTTTAACCTCGTATTTAACTGAGTTAAATATCTTATATTTAGGGGCCATTTGTGATGATAGATGAGTTTATTAAGTTAACACTTGAACGTGAAATACCGGAACTTCCACCATCAGGTCTGTGAGAATGTTTATTACCTTTTCATCCTTCACTTCGTAATCATCTTTTTTTGTATTTGTTGGTGTTGTTTTTTAGCTTTTGTTAAGTGGAAAGCCCATAGGGTTTTTTCTTTGCAATCTGAAGTTGTGCATGTGTCAATGTGTATCATACTTAAACAAACGTTTCAGAATGATCTTGAGTTACACCATCTGGTCCCAGTTGTGCAAAAGATGTATAACGCTATCTGCTGGATAAATCTCTATCCACTGTACAGCCCAATATTGGTGTTTGTAATACTTGTTTGTGTAGGGTAGTGATTTAACTGGTGGATTAAGCACTTGTATCTAACGTTTGAACAACTGAGTAGGTCTTTCATGCATCAGACTTTCATACTCCTATTCACTTTTGAAAGATTTAAACACTCTTACAGCCTCAGCTGGCATAAATTGCTGTTACATAAAATGAGCACATCAACCTTTGCGTGATAGCTCGTTTTTCTCCTTAAAAATATTAAAAGGGGAAACTTTCCTGTGTTAACTCTGTTTATTTAGTCATTTATTATGTTATTAGTCATTTTTCTGACCCCAAACTAAGCAATTTACAGCAACTAGAAGAGATGGTCTTGCACATAGGCCGCACCTATGAGTTTGAGCCTAAAATTTAAGCAAAAAGATGTGACTTATATACTATTGTGGCGTAATTTCAATACTCTTGCGTTGTGTTCACAGGATTACCAGATTCTGAGGCACCTATGAATGGAGTGGAGAGTAGTGAAAGTAGCATGGAGGTTGAGCAGAACAAGCGAGGTGTCAAACGACCAGGTGTTGACCATGAAAGTGATGATGAGAGTTCATCTGCTGCACCTCCTGTGAATGACATTTACAGAAGTCGACAACAGAAGAGAGTACACTAGTGGAATCACTGGTCATTAATACCTCATAAGTAACACAATGCAGCCTTAGCAAGTGGCTACACACCCTCTATTCTAGACTTTTGTATAAACTCTTAAAGCCATAAGGCGAAAATGCCTTCTAGACCTCCTCTCCTGCCCCCACTGGCTAATTAAAAAAGCCCATCCCTGTTTATAACATTTGTTTGAACTCTAGAGAGGAAAAATTAACTTTTTCAACAAACCAAGTACGCTAGTTCAAAAATAGAGAAGTAGTATGGTTTTCTTAGGGCCTGTTTACACTGGCAATTTTTTTGCACGGTTTTTTATGCAATTTCAAATCGTAGGAGTATAACTCCTGCAGATTTTCACGGTGATTGTCACTACTAAATCACTGTACTTCAGAATGTGCCTGAATTTCCAGTCAACTGTTCACTTTATTACTCAACGGTAGTTAGCGAAAAGCTGCCTTATGGTAAGAAAGTGTTTATACGTCAGAGGCATCTTCAGGTTGTTCATTGGGAGATCAGAGAATTCCCCGTTTACTACGCAGAATTCTCCATTAGCCTATATGGCTATTTTTCGTTCAGACGTGGAGCCTTTTTCAAAATATTCTCCTGTGATGTTACACCTTTCTCCTGCTGCTGGAGTTTTTAATGAAAACCCTGATCTTAGAGAGGAAACCGCTGCAATACTACACTAATAAGAATTAGTTTAATACAACCACCAACAAATCACTGTAAAATTTCCACGAAATTGTGTGAAAAATTGAGGCAAATCATGTACTCCACACAGGTTTAAACAGAACAACTATCTAAACTTTTCTTTTCCACGTTAAATAGTACACTGCTTGTTTGGAAATGAAAAAATGGTGGGATACACCGCAATTAGATTTGAGGTATAGAATATTGTCCACAGAATCCTGCTATAACATGGTTTAGTCCTTCCAGAGGCGCGTTCTTCTACAAAGTTTTACAAACTTATGCCTTTTTTGAGGTTAAGGGCTCTTGCCTCTAATCAATTTTTTACATTCATCCGTCTTTATCAATAACTGTAAAAAGAAACAGGTCACATTTTCTTTTTCTAACACACAGTGTCACAATGTATTTATTCATCTAGTAGATCCTCTCCAAATGGCTAAATAATCTATTCAAAACATGCAACAAAGTTGTAATAAATTTAGCTTGGTGTAAGAGACAAGTGCTCACATTGTGGCAGTTACTTATAGTACCTCAACTGATATCAGTCTTCAGAGAGAGGATCTCTGGCCATTACCAGCTATCTAAAACTAACCTAAGCTTTTTTTTCTCACGGGTCTTTTAAAATGTAATAGGTAGATCTCAGCATATCATTATGTATTTTGCTGTAACCCACAAATGCATTTTAAACAGAGTTTGATAAAGGATTATTGAGGTGGTACAACTTTTCCTTTTAACTGTTATGTGCTACTCATTTCATGCTAGATTGTTGGCATTCTTTCTTTTTTCCTATCTAACATTGAAAGTAGAAGACTTTTCAGTGTTAAGCTCCCACACCAGATCATGCATTAGTGTGAGTGGCTACAATGTATCATAGGGTTTCACCAGAGACTCTTAAGGGATTGAAACGTGTTACTAACATATGTTTGCTTTGTCCGATGCTCGAGAACTTTCATTTTTTCTAGTACTATATTTGGAACGAGAAGAAAAGATATCTGACCAATCAAACTTCGTAAATGACGTGACGTAATTTTACTCCACGTTTCCAGGCCCTCTCGGAAAATAGGGAGATCAAGTAAAAACTACGGCTAGGGCTACGAAATATCACTTCAAAAAAAGGTGAATTTGCGCTCCTTCAAACTTGTTCCATCTCGTTCAGTTCGTCGAATGTTAGCAACCTTTTCTGGAGTTGAATTTGAAAGACTGTATCGAAGTTCAGGAAAACAAAAAGAAAGTCCTTGTCTTGTGTTTTCACCCTCCACGAATCGTAAAATTAGGCACTTTCACGTCGTAGCCGTGAAGTAACGGCAAAGAAATGTACAAAAAAGCGTGATGCTCGTGCAGGCTTGTTGTTAAGCCTATTGCTTTCCAAATGTGGTATTTCAAGGGTTCCCAAATATGGTACTTAGAAAAATGAATATTGACGAGCATTGAACGCAGGTTCTACGTTTCAACCCCTTATGAGTTTCTGGTTTCACTTAAAACACATCCTGGACATTTTTTGCTTAATGTAGTTTTTTATCATATAGAGCGGTTTTCATTTGAGTGTCGAAAAGTAATTGGTTTTGCACTTTCTACACGATGCGATTGGCTTAAAAGATTCGCGCCACCTTTTCATCCAATCAGAAGTAAAACCAAAGCCTCCACATGTAATTACTTCGAGTTTTGATTGGTTCAATGTATTGTCTGTGTCCTATGTGATTGGCCAGAGTAATTACTTTGGTTTTGGTTTTACGACACTCAAACGAAAACCACTCTATGACAGACTTACGAAAGGTTTCATCTTAGCCAGTCAACAACCCTATTGCCAGGCCCTCTCTTTCCTTCCAAATACCGTATTTATTCGAATAAGCGCCCAACCTCTAATTAGCACCCACCCCCACTCCCTCCCAATAAAACTCAAATAAGCGCCTGCCCCCACCCCACCCACTTGAGTGACAATGAGATTGAAATTGAAAATGAATAAGTACCAATAAGAGACTTGCCTGAAGACGGAGTTTTCTTCAGAGTATTTTACAGAAACCTTGCTTTGTTACTTCTTGGCATTTTGTTATGAGCATTTACTGTTTTGTTGCAAAATAAACATACTACACTTGCTGAAAATGGGGAAAATTTAATAAGCACCCAGCTTGAATAAGCGCCCAGTCACAAGGTCCAAAAATTTTATAAGCGCCCAGGATGGTTAATGGAATAAATACGGTAAAACAAACTTTGGGGCTTGAGTAGGCCTTAGGTATTTCATGCAGAAGAATGACTTGGCCACACAGAATGAAGAAGAGAAAAGAAATTCACTTCTTTTCATTACTTGGGATTACTGTTTTTTCTCGAAAAATATAGCCATCCCTCAAATAATCACCGCCCTTTGACCCAAATATTTAAAATGATCGCCTCCCTCGAATAATCGTCCCCGGTATCTCGCTATTGATACCCATAGCAGTAAATCTCAAGGGTGAGGCTGAAGTGGAGTCTGATCCATGCAGAAAAACTGATCACTGACGACGCCAACGATATCAACAGTAAAAATTAATCAAGGGACCAAATTTGGAACATTAAAAAGCCCATGTTAAGTTTCTTTTATGTGATTATTTGTTATTTAATGGGAAAATAGAACAAAATGATTGAGGCAAGACTTGCAATGAACAATATCTGAAATTATTATACATTGTACTCACTACCTGTCTCCTCATTGGCTAAGCTAGAGCCTACAGCTAATTTTGGAAATCAGTGCAACCTACAGATTAGTCAGTTATTTGCTAACAGATAACTGACTTACCTGTAGGTTGTGTGCGTAATGCATGATTCCAATAACATCAATTCATGTTCTGTGCAACAGTATATTTGTCATTATTTTCCTCAAAAACAATGTATGACAAAACAATATTAATTAGATTCAGTTTTTGTGATATGCTTTAATAATCAAGGTCTCAGTAAGTGTTATCAGCCTCAGCCTTCGGGTTGGCTGATAACACTTACTTACCTTGACCTTGATTATTCCGAATATCACAAAAACCTCATCCAACAATAATACTGTTTTTAATCACCTTCCCCCGAATAATTGCCCCCTTCTGGTGCGAAAAAAGAAATAATTGCCCCCTGCTATTATTCGACGAAATACGGTATACAGCTGACCCTCCATTAATTGGCTACCCATGGGGTAGGCCAGGAAGTGGCTGTTTTATGGAGGTTGGCTGCTCAATAGAGTTTCATCATAAATTTGAATAATCTTTAGCAGAAACAACAATTTCATTTTCAAACACACAATGGGAGCAGCATTACTGGTCCACAATCAGTTGCCACCTATCTCACAGGGTATTTTCCTTCATTATATTTTTAGCATAAAGCCAAACTGAGACTATAAAGCCTTTTAGTCCTTTTAGGCTTTAATAGGCCATTTTACAGTTGTGTGCTCAGTGCCCTGGCCTTTGAATAGAAGCAAGGATGGCGGTGACCTTGTTTTGTTAGAAACCTTGTTTTTCAGATGTAAATGATCAAGTTCACAGGCTTGTTAGCATGAGAATACCACGATTTGCACATGAAAAACAAGAAGGTTTGTAACAAAACAAGGTCACCGCCAGCCTCACTTCTATTCAAAGGCCAGGGCACTGAGCACACAACTATAAAGTTGACAGGGATGTAGCTTAGTGTCAGCTGCTACTGAAAGACTAGAGAGCTTACAACTAGCCCAAACTGATTTGGCAAACAAAGGACCGGGTGGCAAAGGGGTTTTCAGTGACGCTTGAGGGGTCATGAATTATCAGCGTGATGCATGATCGGGAACAAATTAGTTGCATGAGGCGTGATTAGGCATAGCTGCCCTTTTAGCTGGGTGGTGTATGATCTTCTGTATTCACAAAGAGTGACACGTGAATTTTCTTATAGAATTCCGTGATTGGTGAATATCATTTGAAACTAGAAGCACAGACATTAAAAACAGATATTCATGATGTCATTTTCTTTTCTACCCAAAAAAGACCATGAAAGCAATTTATTAGAACTGATTCATTCAAGGGTTGATATATTGCCATGTTAACTTACTCATTTACATGATGCATGATGGCTAATTCAGTTTTCCCTGTGATGCTTGATGAACCAAACAAAGTCAGCGCAACGCTAATCTGAGATCAGGCCCAATTTGAGCGGTTCTCATACATTCTCTCTGTAATACGTACACCCCTTTGCCACCCTGATAAAATGGTTTTCTTGTTTGTCTTTTGTTGATATTGTTGCTTTTTGTTTTTTGTATGTTTTTTCACCTACCCACCCCAACATAACCCACATTTATAATTTTAGCGCTGTATGCTGTATTGAGATATAGAAAATTCCTCCAGCCGTTCTTCCGCAGGTAACACGTTATTGAGTCTTTCCATCATAGGTACAAGACGCTTGAGGTTAGCGTCGATTCTCCTGAGATTAGAGTTCATTTCCTCTACCTTCCTTAGCTGTCCAGCCACATAAGAGAACTTCTTGTATCTGTCACTTACTCCTCGCAAAACTGTAGCACAATATGTATCCATTTCGCGGACTTGTGACGAGAGCATGTGTTGGTCAAATGCTACAGCCTCCGCGCATTGCTTCAGGTGCTTCTCATATCGTGAACAAAGCGACAAACACGGGCGAAGGTCAAACTTATCAAAAAACTCCAACTCTCTAGCTGACGAGGCGGAAATTGAGCTTCGAAGGAGCGGATAATAGAATGGTATTTTGTTCAAGTTTCTCGTATCAGGATCTTCAGTTTTGGAGACAAGTTTTGGGCTTCCAGTGGGCGCATTAACGACCATAATGTCTTCCAGCTTGGCTCTCTGTTTCGACTTCGGTTTTGCTCCCTCCTTTTCCACAGAATACGAGGTATAAGGAACATTTGGATGGCCCATTTGACCCGCTAAACTACTGCTTTGATCTTGCCCCATTCTCAAAAACTGTAATAACCACTACCTAAATAGCATTAAAGAGGAAAGGCTCTCGCCTCAGCGAATTAACGGTCCGCCATCTTGCATCTCATGACAAAAGCCCTCAGACCTCCCTAACAGCGGTTCTCCATTTGGTACCAAGGCTATGGTAGGTACTTCATGTATGGGGACGTATATTGGCCCTGCCCGATGAGACGGCTTTTTCGGATTCGTTTAATTTGTTTTACGTTAGACAGTCCGCCTTTTCTCTTAAAATCCGTCTAGTTCCTATCTCTGTTAGCACGATTACAAACCATGTGCAGTAACTTTTACAAAGAAAAATAAGAGACTGCTCGCAGTCTAGTTTTACATTCATAACATAAGGTATGAACCAATGAATCGTTGTTCTGATGGTGAGGACATGGGCCTTAACTGCAGGCAATGAATAGTCTGTACAAAAACCACGTCATTGCAAAACAAATCTCTCTTCAAGGCAGTCACGTTGTGTAGCGACACGCACGGCACGTGCACTTTTTGTCACTGTTTGTCACGTGCTATATCACGTCGTATTAAAGGTTGGTCCGGCGGGCACAGGCAATATTCAGGGTAGGCCGGATTCAGGGTAGACTACGAGTAGTCCCCCATTTTTCCTCAGGGATAGTAGAGCGAGCAAAACGCGAGCGCGCGTGAAAATCAACCCACGCGAGCGTGGGGTGATTTTCACGCGCGCTCGCGTTTCGCTCGCTCTACTATCCCTGAGGAAAAATGGGGGACTACTCGTAGTCTAGATTCAGGGTCAGCCAGGGTTTGGGGGTATACAGTATAGTGGGGTCTTGAATTTCGGAAGCTATACAGTATTTTATCTGTAAATTTGGGTATAAAGAATTCACTCACAACTAATTTTGCGTATAAAGTATACCGTGGTTTTTCTTAATTTTGGTATTTTACACGAGTTTTAGTATAATTTTTGGTACATTGGAAGGTTTATTTCGGGTATTTTGGTATTCCACTAACCCCACCCCTCCTGGCCGACCCTGAATATTAAAACGTTTACAGATACGGTTCTAGGACCGGACCATTGTAATTTTGGGCAAGATTAAGCACGCGAATGTCGGAAAGAAATTACCATAAGATGAAATTTTAAAAATGCCAGCCTAGTTATCTCTTTTAATAGTGCAAATTTATGACATACTAAAAATTAAGACAACGGATTTTTTTGTCCCACACCCTAATATCGGTTTCAAGAGAAGCAACATGATTCAATGGTGGACTGTATCTTAAAGGCCCGTTTCAAACGTCGTGCTACTGCCGTGCAGAACTCATATTGACAAAATTAAATTCGACTTAAGCTCGAGAAACCGTAGTTATGACGGGGGGTGACAGCTCTAACAAGGGCTGTTTCGGGAGAAAAACAAATTTATTCCGGGAATCTGGAGATTTTGCTGGCAATCGGGAAACCTGGGAAATTTTGCGGGAAATATGAGATATTTTCGGGACATTGAGCAAAGATCTCATACAATGACACCACACAGAGTATACTTAGCTGAAAGTGATATCCAGAGCAATTTCAAAAACCGCACAACTTGTCTAAAATAAAATTGACTACTTCTACGCGAAGTCACGCCAATAAAAATAAGCATAAAAAGGACAATCGATTTAGAGAACATTTTGGACAGAATTTCTCCTCTCAGAACACTAGAAATGGCGTTTCAGAGCTCCAAGATTTCAAAATTTTCTGGGGGAGCATGCCCCTGGACCCCCCTAGTGGTTGGCCCCTTCACTACTCGCCTGAATTTAGTGGCGATTAAAAAACAAAAAAAACACGAGTTTGACAGTCTTTCTGTTTTAACATGATACCCTCTAAACGAAAAAATAACTAAGGTTGGAAAATTAACAAGTTACATAAATTAACAAGAAGCTACAAAAAATCTCTCATCAAAATTTTAATTTTAATTGTTAAAACAATTTTGGGAAGTTAAACATTTATGGGGAATGCCACCGAAAAATTCGGGAGGGTCGACGAAATTTCCGGGAGCACGTAAAGTTATTCATAGGACTGCCCAAACAGCCTTTGTTGAGTTGTCACCCCCCGTGTTATGCAATAAAGCCAAAAAAACAGTAAACGACGATCAAACACCAAAATGCAGTGGAATACATTGCAGCATAGTAACTATGATTGCAGGTAAGTCTTTTATTTCATTTTATTTAAGAAAAAGTAAGATTTAGCGTTGTTTAGCGTTCGCAGATCTCAGTAACATATTTCTCATATAGACTACGAGTAGTCCCCCATTTTTCCTCAGGGATAGTAGAGCGAGCGAAACGCGAGCGCGCGTGAAAATCACCCCACGCCGCGTGTCGCCTTTTCTCGCGCGGGTTGATTTTCACGCGCGCTCGCGTTTTGCTCGCTCTACTATCCCTGAGGAAAAATGGGGGACTACTCGTAGTCTATTCTCATACAAAGTCTCGTATATTTTCAACGGTCGCCTGTAACGCGACACCGGCGCGTCACCTATGGTATGTAAATTACATTACACCCTTCCCTCGTGACGTGAGTTTGGGCCGCCTGTGGTAGCACGGCAAGCCTTGCCGTGCTACACGGCAGTAGCTCGACTTGTTTTTAAACAGTCAAACGTCGTGCTACCGCCGTGTCGAACTCAATTCATAAATAATAAATACGTTAGAATATATTTAAAAGTTCGCTAAACCGCTTCTTTATTTTTGTGTTTTGTTTTCGGTAGCGGCCGTTCTATTCGACTCAATTAAATTCGACGTCTGAAAGCAAGTCGTGCTAGTGTCGTGCTGCAGTCGAGCTACAGTCGAACCAGCTTCGCAAGGCTGTAGCACGACGTTTGAAACAGGCCTTAAGGCCGCGGGGGACACCTATCTATGAATAGATCATCTTTTAAAACGCTTATATCTCGCCTGTTTTAGAGGCGATTTACAGTAGATAAAACTTAACAGAGACATAATGGAATAATGGAAGTTTAGGACGGTTGTTTTTTATGTTTTAGATTGCACTTTACCGATAATACTTTAAGCCACAGTTGTACCAAATTGAGAAAACACGATTTTGTGTCCAAGTTTGTGGACCGAACAGAGGAAAACACTCTGTGATTTTATTAATAAATGATAGGTCAAAATCTCTAGTTTGACAGGCATAGAGCAGATTTTACTATTTTACAGATTGCCAGCAAGATTTAATCGTTTAAATGAGCAAAATCTGTCATCCCCGAAATTAAGGCCTTATGTCTTTTTCTAAAAGTGCTCTTTTAGAATGACGCTGTCAAATTATACACTAGCTCTTGAAGTTTTGTATCTCCGCTGAACTCTTTGAGACTCCCGAAGGTGTCCCGACTAAGCACGAGTTCCAAACAGACGACGATCGAACAGTATCCCATGATGCACCTCGTTTTATGTTATGTTGTTACTGCGTACGTGGCATATCGTGAACAGTGTTCTTCAGCACGCTCGAAGTGAACGTACATCGCGATGTTCCATGTGGATGGTTTCCAAACATGTTTCGGTTTAGCAGCTTCTGCTTTTGAGAATATCTAGTTAGCTTATATTCACTGTGCTTTAAAGGAGAATTTAAGCCTCACTTTGAAGCGTTTTACACAGTCTGGTAGTTGGGTAAACATTAAAAGGGAAATGGTCTCTTCGCCAAATGATGAAGAAATAGCTAATTCTTCTAAAAACCATACCCAATTCAAGACTAGAGCACAAACCATACCCTACTGAGACCAAAATGGTCGAAATTGATACCCTATTGGCAAACCAAAAAGGCTAAAAAAAACCATACCCTTTGGCGCGGTACATACCTATATAGCCCTTTTAAGGTGATTCCCTGGTTTTGCACTGCGCATCTCTTACTGCGCATAACAAGATGGCCGCCGTAAAAAAGAGCATGTGAAGTAACATTATTAAATAAAGTTGACTGCGGAAGCACCATTGGAATTTTTGCTTGCGGTTGTTTCTTGCCGAGGTGAGACTCAGTGTGTTTGGAATGTGCATAAAGTAAGCAGTACGCGTATTGCTGATTTCGACTTCCTCACGGAAAACCTCGATAGTGGATGTTTAACTTGTGCTTACTCACTTTGATTTTCATTTAAACGTTTTTTTTCTTTATCACATTGTGTCCTAAATGTGATATCTCGTTGTAAATTCTGTAAAAATGGATTTTTTAATACTTTCTTCCCCTCTTTCCGATACATTCTATTTTGAAGCTCGCCCCAGTCCTCTCTCAAACATCGGAGAAAATGCATTTGGTGCGCACCTTCTTCAGCTCTACGGCAAAAACGAGTTCGGTGACCTCCATTTTTTATTTCATGATTTTAATAAGGGCAGTGCTTCCTCTCGATGAGAAAAAAATTGGCACAAATCTATGTTCAGTTTTTTTGGCAATTTTACTAAATTGTACGGATTGAGCTATCACGGGTCGAATAGCGCGTGTCCAATTTAATTCTACTTTGGAGCGCAAAAGGCAAAAACAAAGGCACTAAAAGGCATTTTTCTGGTACGTCAGTGGATAAAGAATACATTAAAATCAAATTCTTTGCGATACCACATGTATCATCGAAAAAATCTCTCCTTTTTGTCTAGTTTTGGGCTGCGCGCGGTTTTTGTAAAGGGTCTTAAATAGCCGTATTTGTCAGCGTTGTGACGTCAAAACGAGCACGGTGACCCCGACTTTTTATTACTTTTTCGTCATCTCCTTGACTTGTTTCATCATTGTACCAAGTTCCATCTATAATCTATGTTAGGTTCTTTTACTAAGGAATCACCGTAAGGGACCACCCCCCACCCCCGGGGCGAAAAACGCCTTGCAGATTATGAGTCTTGCTGCTTACGCAAGCGGCAAGACTAATAATCCTTGACTATGAAGGTGACATTTTTAACAGTTTTTCAAAATTGTATTAAAATTTTTGCTTCAAATTTGTAGGATTGTTCATTAGTTAGTTTTTCAAAAAAAATTGTTACTTCTGCTCTGACAGGCGTAAAGTACGGTCGGCGACGCGAAACAAACGTTTTGTATTTTAAAAATCTCTAAATAAAATAATACTAAAACATAACTTAAGATTTTTATTCCAGTAAACGACGATGTATGAAAAAAAGAAAAGATACGAGTATTATTGTGATTGTTTTAGAAAAAAGGTATGTAAAGCTATAAAGTCTCGCATTGTCTTTGGTGTCGTGACAAGTCATTACGTATCACGTACTAAAAGCAAATACGCAAAAGCTAAATTTTTAGAGGTCAAAGTAGAGCTAGCTGGCTACCGAATCCACGAAAAGCTCATTTGTCCTGAACATTTCGCCGATAATATAAAACAACGACTTTCCAACAAGATGATGTACTCAAAAGAAATAAAATTTTGGGGGCGGCTGCGGTTTCGTTGAAATTCAAAGCAGCTTTCCCGTAAAGCTCCACGGGATCTCAGTCATTTATCTTAAGCGAATTTTCTTTTCAACCTAAATGATTAGTAAAAAGAATAGCGTCCTTATTTTTGACCCAAACGTTTTTATAAAAAATACATAAGCAGACCACACTCTTAATTACTGTCTACTCTCTCCCATGAGTCCCCTGTGTCCCTTGTTTCCCCTTGTGTCCTCTGTTTCCCCTGAGTCTCTTGTGTCCCCTTGTGACCCTTGTGTCCTCTTGTTTCCCCTGTGTTTGTTGTGTCCACTGTGTCCCTTGCTTCCCCTTGTGTCCTCTGTTTCCGATGTGTCTCTTGTGTCCCCTTGTGACCCTTGTGTGCCCTTTTGTCCCCTGGGTTCCTTGTGTCTCCTGTGTCTCTTGTGTCCCCTTTTGTCGCCTTGTGTCTCCTTGTGTCCCCTGTGTCTCTTGTGTCCCTTGTGTCCACTGTGTCCCACTGTGTCCCTTGTGTCCACTGTGTCCCACTGTGTCCCTTGTGTCCCTTATCTCCCTTATGTCCCTTATGTCCCCTTGAGTCCCCTGTTTCCCCTGTGTCCACTGTGTCCCTTGTGTCCCCTGTGTCCTCCAGTGCCCCCTGTGTCTCTTGCGTCCGTTGTGTCCTCTTGTGTCCCCTTGTGTCCTCCTATGTCCCCCTGTGTCCCTTGCGTCCCTTGTGTCCCGTTGTGTCCCGCTGTGTCCCTTATGTTCCCTTGTGTCTCCTGGAGTCCCCTGTGTCCCCGTGTCCTTTGTGTCCCCTATGTCCCCCTGTATCCCTTGTGTTCCCTTGTGTCCCCTGTTTCCCCTGTGTCCCTTGTGTCCCTTGTGTTTCTTGTGCCCCGTTTCCCCTGTGTCCCTTGTGTCCCCTAAAATAAATGACGACGTTGCCCTGGTCTCTCATATTGCGCGAAAACTTTGATGGGTTTCATTGTTTTGGTATGACATCATGCGAGGCTTTTTTCGCACGCCCAGCAGGTCAAAGGATGTGATTTTTCATGAAAATAAAGAATCAAAACTCAAAGTTCTGCTTGAGCTTGTTTAGAAAATAATTTGTTTAATTTTTGATAATTAACGAACATCTCACTGATTTACTAATTTGAGCAACCAACTTAGAGGCCCGAGCACCCCAACTAAAATGCTTGGGAGCCCGAAGTGCTCCCTGAAAATTTTCCCTAAAGCACAGCCTTGCACCCTGTAAATGTAAATGTAATGTAGTTATTGTAAGTCTTATACATTACATGCTAATGTTGAATGTGAAGTGCATTTATTGAGGATATTAGTAAAGCAGGAAAGCAAATATTAGTGAAATACCCCATACTCTTAACATATGTAGTGGCAATATTGATGTAAGTTTTGTTTTGAGGAGCAAAGGAACCGTTGTGAGTCACTCATCTTCCAGTGTATGTAACATAACATCTCCGTCACTCCTGTACACATTTATTGTTGATACACTGCTTAACTTTCCAATGCAATTCAACATAATTCTTACTTACACCAACACATCCCGAGTAAACGCCTTCAGGCGTCTTCTTGTTGAATTAAAAATCCCTGAATTAACAAGGTTTACTACCATTTAGGGCCCGATCAACTGGGCTCATGTGAAGAGGCCTTGAGAGTTTGGATCGTCCAACACGTTCTGTTCGACGAATAGGAGACCCCATAAAACGTCTGATCTGACCGCAGAGGCCCTGTTTGCAGCTGGAAGGGTACGCTGCTTGATTTGACTATGATTATTTAATTTTAAACATACTATTTCATATAAATCAGAGCAAGTCTTCTTTTATTCTTAAAATAACTTTTTGGCCTGATTCAGATGATTGGTTTGACGCGTCCTAAGTTTGACGTCTGACCCAACAGACGATCTTAACTTAATTTATGTCGACCCAAATTAGAGTTTGATTCGTCGCATGAAAATGAGGCCTTACATTTGATGTGTCATCTTAAGTAAGTTAGAATTTCAGTCGTGAAACTTGAATAACTGTGCCGTCAACAGTGTTTAGCTAGTGTCCCCGACATATTTCATGAACGGAACCAATTCAGTCAAATTTTCCGTGGCTGGGGTTGCACAGAGTTTGACTGTGAACGGGTCTGTTTCCCTTTTCCACCGCTCTCTCCGGCTCAAGTTTCTCTCTTCGACCAGTCCTACCTAGGGACTACTCGAGTTCTAACTGTCTTGCTCCCTCAAAGCAATAACAAGGCGACCGAAGGACAATTTAACTCATTTTTATTCTTCAATCGTCTTCTTTGTAATTGTTTTAAAATATCTAAGTTCTCATTTCAATACTAAGCTAAGGGCTACTCTTTAGACTCGCGGGAAAATGAGAATGTTCCAACAGTTAATGACAAACCTCAACTCAATCTTGACCCTATAAATATAACTGATCGCAACAATGAACAGTTAATCTTCTTTAATTTGGAACTTTCTTGGAACTGACATGAAAACCCTTCCGTAAACCAACCCGCAAATCAGACTATTAATTTAAGAATATGAAGAAAAACTGTGCGTCATGAAAAATAGGCAGTAAATAATCTTACGAAAAAAAAAAAACAATAACTGCAAAACTTTGCGTACTAACTCAAATATCTGAAAGAATAGTTTGTCGTCTACTTGGCTAGAAAACTACTCTATTAAAAAAAAATCTATCCATATTTTTTGAAGTGATCGTTGTCGACTTCAAAACCAGCTTCTCAGCTGCTAAAAAGGTTGCTAAACTCAACAATTTCCCTTTTTGAGAGTTTGGGTCGTCCCACATGTTCTGTCCGTCTGCTTCAGACGAATAGAAGACCCCATAAAACGTCTGAAGACTGGCGTCTCCGGGACAAACGTCGACCTTCCCATGCGACGAACTAAACTGATACTAATAAATTAAAATTTGTATGATAAAGTATATTTAGTCTCGTTCAGAAGAAAATTTCTTAAAATAACTTTTTGGTCTGATTCAGTTGATTGGTTTGACGCATCCTAAGTTTGACGTCTGACCCAACAGACGATCTTAACTTAATTTAGGTCGACCCAAATTAGAGTTTGGTTCGTCGCATGAAAATGAGGCCTTACATTTGATGTGTCATTATAAGTAAGTTAGAATTTCAGTCGTGAAACTTGAATAACTGTGCCGTCAACAGTATTTAGCTAGTGTCCCCGACATATTTCATGAACGGAACCAATTCAGTCAAATTTTCCATGGCTGGGGTTGCACAGTTTGACTCATGTGAACGGGTCTGTTTCCCTTTTCCACCGCTCTCTCCGGCTCAAGTTTCTCTCTTCGACCTGTCCTACCTAGGGACTNAAAAAAAAAAAACAATAACTGCAAAACTTTGCGTACTAACTCAAATATCTGAAAGAATAGTTTGTCGTCTACTTGGCTAGAAAACTACTCTATTAAAAAAAAATCTATCCATATTTTTTGAAGTGATCGTTGTCGACTTCAAAACCAGCTTCTCAGCTGCTAAAAAGGTTGCTAAACTCAACAATTTCCCTTTTTGAGAGTTTGGGTCGTCCCACATGTTCTGTCCGTCTGCTTCAGACGAATAGAAGACCCCATAAAACGTCTGAAGACTGGCGTCTCCGGGACAAACGTCGACCTTCCCATGCGACGAACTAAACTGATACTAATAAATTAAAATTTGTATGATAAAGTATATTTAGTCTCGTTCAGAAGAAAATTTCTTAAAATAACTTTTTGGTCTGATTCAGTTGATTGGTTTGACGCATCCTAAGTTTGACGTCTGACCCAACAGACGATCTTAACTTAATTTAGGTCGACCCAAATTAGAGTTTGGTTCGTCGCATGAAAATGAGGCCTTACATTTGATGTGTCATTATAAGTAAGTTAGAATTTCAGTCGTGAAACTTGAATAACTGTGCCGTCAACAGTATTTAGCTAGTGTCCCCGACATATTTCATGAACGGAACCAATTCAGTCAAATTTTCCATGGCTGGGGTTGCACAGTTTGACTCATGTGAACGGGTCTGTTTCCCTTTTCCACCGCTCTCTCCGGCTCAAGTTTCTCTCTTCGACCTGTCCTACCTAGGGACTACTCGAGGACTAACCCTCTTGCTCCCTCAAAGCAATAACAAGGCGACCGAAGGACAATTTATCTCATTTTTATTCTTCAATCGTCTTCTTTGTAATTGTTTTAAAATATCTAAGTTCTTATTTCAATACTAAGCTAAGGGCTACTCTTTAGACTCGCGGGAAAATGAGAATGTTCCAACAATTAATGACAAACCTCAACTCAATCTTGACCCTATAAATATCACTGATCGCAACAATGAACTGTTAATCTCCTTTAATTTGGAACTTTCTTAGAACTGACATGAAAACCCTTCCGTAAACCAACCCGCAAAATCAGACTATTAATTTAAGAATATGAAGAAAAACTGTGCGTCATGAAAAATACGCAGCAAATAATCTAACAACAAAGGGCGAAAAAAAAAACAATAACTGCAATACTTTGCGTACTAACTCAAATATCTGAAAGAATAGTTTGTCGTCTACTTGGCTAGAAAACTACTCTATTAAAAAAAATCCATCCATGTTTTTTGAACTGATCATTGTCGACTTCAAAACCAGCTTCTCAGCCGGTAAAAAGGTTGCTAAACTCAACAATTTCTCTTTTCCAGAAAGGAAATTACACGCTCCATTGACCGTAAACCATTTTTTTTTTTCAAAAGTATTTTGAAAATACACTGTAACTACCTTTATCATTTTTTCTTTCTGCATTTCAAAGATGCCTCAAACAAACCTAAATCTTTTAGTTCTTTTTGTACGTAATAAAGAAATATTTTATAAACTCTTTCTCTACAAATAGTTTATACATCCTCTCGGCGGACTCGCAATGTCTCAAAATAAAACAATTCCGCCTTTCAGTGAAGTCTTTCTGAAACGAAGGTCCTCTTCAATGCGACAGATGTTGCTAGAAACGGAGAATCCTGCTATCTCCAAGTCGTAAACGTGTTTACGCGTAATTTTTTCAACTTAAACATTACAATTTTACTTCATCATTAATATTATTGCCATTAGAGTACAATGTTCCACTGTTCCACTTATTGTTGCAATTCTATATTAAACAGTGAATATAGGACATATTTATTACGTTCCGAAGATCTTCTCGGTTTGGACATAAAACGGACATGCACTTTCACAAAGTCTCCTTTCACTGGCAAGGGAAGAAGACCCTCTGTGCATAGGTAATCTGACTTCGGCATAACGGGCATTCCTTACACATGGCTGAACAATCCACACAACAAACCACGTGACCACAAGGGCAGAAAGCAGTAGCAACCTCGCTATCCATGCATATCTGACAGATACGTGCATCCTGAAGGTGTCGTACCATAACCTTCAGCTCTTCTGGAGACAAATTCTCCGTGCACTCTCGTTCTGTGCAGGCTCTCTGTCCCTCGCCCCGGAACGTCCCAGGTTTGTCTTTCCTTTTCATGTTGTAGCACCTCCGTTGAGTGAGCGGAGACTGTACAGGGCGGTACTCCGCTGACGCACCCGCGCAACGGAAACTGCCAGAGGTGGAGCATGTCATGTCAATCATGCGACACGAGTTAAGCTCGCCCCACGCATGACTGTATGCTTGACGCCGAGTGCGCTGCACATCGAACAGGAAAATCCTGCCGAAGTCGTTACGAGGCACGAACACGGAAAACAGCCGGCCAGCGAATGTCCTCGTACACTGATCGATAACTGATCGCTTGACGGTGTTACACTGGTAAAATGTGTGGTACTCGGTAAACGTTCGGAACAATGCAACTGCATCGCTCTCTGACTTCATCTTATAGGTGTCTCGCTGGGATAACGGCCCGGTGCCACCGTGGACGACAGTGAAACAGCGGTTGTTGTACGAAACGGTGGACACATCTTCAAAGGAAACTCTGAAAGGACAAAACAGTGACATGAGAAAAAAAATGCAATCACAATACATGCTGTCGTTCAAGGGACCCTCCTAATGATCTTTGACATGGAGAAATCCATCCACATCTCTGATGAGAGGGATGGGGCTTATTTGAGAGGGGGTCCTAATAGAGGATTCACAGTATGTTCCTCATCTTTTTATACTATAGTCTTTGACCTTTGACATTTTCTAAGGACGATTACATGCAAATATGAACTTTAAAGTACAAAATGCAACTTTCGTTTCAGCTTGAGTATTGTCTTTATTTCTGTCTTCCATCTTTTTTAAGCCAAGCAGTATTAGTATCAACTTGGTTGACTGATTGCCAACTCTGATCTCGTGATTTAATCAGAAAATCTGTTTCTCAGCCAATAGACCTTGTCACGGTTTTCGACGACATCTTGACGAGTGGGCAAACGCGTGAGAAATTACAATGTTTGTATGAGAATCATTACACCTTATTAAAGGCATCTTGCCGACAAGACTTTTTTTTATACTAAACATTTGATTTCGAAGTGAGGATTCTTAAGAGGACTTTTTTAAACTCCCGCAATGTACGTGATCTTCTGGATGAACCACTTATTTAAAATTTTCTATACATTTGTCTGTAAGAAAGTCCCGGGAAAATTACAGACAAATGTATGGAAAATCTAAAGCAAGCCTCCGGAGAAATTTAAGCACAGGTACGCCCCCAAAAGTTTTTAGGACAATCCTTTGCTTTGTAGCTTTAGATTACAACTGATATTTTTTTCAGAACAGCCGTTGTATGGAAATTATTTGACATTAGATTCTCATACAAACACTGTAATTTCTCACGCGTTTGGCTACTCTTCAAGATGGCGTCGAACACCGTGACAAGGTCTATTCCACCTTTGTGGTATTTCCAGTAACACTCAAATGCCGATGCTTTCACTAAAGGTAAATTAGTCCAAGAGGATATAAGGGCTGAAAAGAAGGTGTGCGCAGATTATTTTAGTTCCAACAGCGCGCGTTTTCAACTGCTTAGAGCTCGAAGATGTCAGTGAAGGACGATGCTTAAGAAACCCGCAGCACACGAGATATACCTCCAGCTACCAACCAGGCACCCAGGGTCTAATAAAGTCAAGTGCGTAAGGGGTTATTCATTCCACACAGGAAGACAAAATTAGTCCTAGACTGTAATAATAACAATGTCAAAAATTAGCTCGGAAACGGAATATACTATGAATCAGTTGTGCTAATCATGAAAAGGAAATCTGTAATGCGTGGCCAGCGGTGAACGGTCTTATTACTCATTTACTCACGTTTTCGCAGGAAAATTTTTTACTCTGATTAAAAAAATACACGTGTGATATTCGGCTAGCTAATCTCTGCAGTATGATTATAGCGGATTCAGGATTGACTGACGTCAACGAATTTCGCTTAAGGACAAAGCCCTAAAGACGTTTATTAAGTAGTGAGAGGCATTTTGAATAACTCAATTTATTTATACGAAGTCATCTAGAGTAAATAACACATTGAACTTAATTAAAAGAGTAATAGTGGTGGCAAAAAAGCGTTCTTTTCTCGATTCAGTTGATTCTTAACTTTGTATCTTGTTTAAAAGAGATTCTCAGTTGTTCAGATAGCCATCTTGTGCCAACGAAACTCGAGCAGCATTGACAGGCACCACTGAAACAGAATATGAGTCTCCAACTAATATTACAGGGCTGTCACTGAATCTCGATCACAAAAGCAAACAAGCGGAGAGCTTGAGAAAACACTCGTCTCTTAGAAAAGGAACGTGATTATATCTCAGCGGTGCAGCGGGCGGATACATTCAAGTTTAAAACAAAGGTTTTTGTCGCCAAAAAAAATTGAAATAGCACGAGTTCTTTATTAAGCTTTCCTTTCATTCTTTCAATTACAGTCAATTTTTTGCTATAGATGTACAAACGCGACTTCATATGCGAACTGCTGTTCCTGCATTTTATTTCCCTGTTTATTGAAAGAGTACACTGTAAACATCTGCCTTCCTTATTTGCTTTTATGCAATTTTCGTATTCAATATCGGATAGCCTGCAGTTCTCTTTGCTTTTCATTTCATTACGAGGAGCACTCTACCATTTTCCTACGAAATTGAACTACTTCCACCTTGAGAATACCCGCAGGCGGGATAGAATAAAAACGAATTAAAGATAACTGCAAAGGTGAAGTCCAAAAAAAATAAAAAATCTAGATCCATCGGCTTGGTGCTCGCTCAAATGTAAACTCGCCACGATATCAGGTCCGTGAATTTTTATCGTTATACCGATACTTTCTGAAAAGAGGAAAATAAAAGAGCGACTTTGCCAAAAATTAGTCGTTTGCGGTCTCGCCAGATAAGACGTCTGTGTGCCAATGCAAAACAAATAGTAGCTCAAATCAACCACAGACTGAAAAACTCAATTATATGTATTTCGATTTAAAAAATCTGTCATTTAGATTCACGAAATTCCATGCACTTCCAAAAAAAGAGAAAAGATCATCATTGAAGTAATTATAGTTTTTTCTTTTTTAAAAAAATCGAAATAAAATAGTTTTGAAGTTCTTTTCTTTAGTCCGCAAGACAAGTCGCTGGACTTTTTAAAAAATTTATATTCGTCAGTAAAAAATTGCCAAGGTATAAACAGATGATTTAAAGATGCAAATTGTTAATCCCCAAGAAAACTGTTTTGGTTTAAAAGTTTAGCGAGTGGCAATTCGAACAAAAAGGTTTAATCATTTCAACTTAAGATAAACTGGATATTATAAATGACAATTATCTACGCTCAGTTCAGAAAAAAACGTTTTGCGCGTGATAAAATTAAAGGATATTTTTAAAAATATGGAACATGTTTCCGCTGAAAGAAAGGGCGCACTGTAAGCCAGCTTTTCACTTTAAATAACTTCTGTTTTTAAAGCTCAGCTCAGCTCAGCTTAGTTTTCTAGCTATAGTTCAATCCAAGCGAGAAATTTAGGCTTACCTTTTTTCAAGAATTCTCCTTGCCACATCTTTGCCTTGTTTCCCGTCATATTCTCGGCTTACACTGAACACTCGAATGCCATCACTGCCGACATAAATGTCAACCTTTTTTAGCATTTTATCATCGCTCAGGCGTCCATGAAAAACCTCGATTCCGTAGCCAGGAATACCACCAGATATGTGCAAGAACTCGATTTTCGATTCGCTTATGGGAGAGTTAACAAGCTTGGCGTGCTCAATAGCTGCGTCCTTTTGAAGATCTGAGGTTTTGGCATAAACATTGTAAACAGACAAGGGAATATAACAGGAATATTTTGGAGTTCGTTCTTGGGTAAAATCCCCGCATTCTATATGAGCAAGCAGGGCACATAGCCGAGCGATGGTCTTCGTTTGCAGAGAGGAAAAATCCAACCTTCCTTCCTTTATAAAGTTCTTTAACGTCAGATAATACTGGTGTCTGAAAATATGTTTAAAACAGAAATTAAGAACGAAAGCGAAAGAGGTAGTACAGTAAAATAAACAAATGACAAATACTGATCGAGTGAGGTTTATATTAAGGAGTTGCAATAGCAGGTACAATTGTCATAACGCAATAACAGAGAACTAACGATAAAATTCATCTGTCTCGCTTACCGTGTTATTTCTTGCTGAAGTTCCTGTGGTTTCACGAAGAATTTTACTAGGAAATACAGTCGATAAGGGGGCTTTCCTGTTAGCTGAGACGACATAGAATTTCTCAAATTTAACCAAAACTTTTCTCCTTTCGCGCCACCAAATTTCAAACCAAAATAATCCCTCTCGACAAGCTTTAACATTTCGCAAACCTGCAAACGATGAAAAATTATAAAAGTCCTTTACGTCAATCGAAACTAGCGAAATGAAACGCCGTTTCCTAAAAATACAACCAGCATACAGGTGTATGATGAGTTGCGAATATTCATGCCAATCGCTCAGAGCCTTTTGAGTGTAAATCCTCACCTTGTCTAAACACTCCTGACCGACGGCATTTTTCGAGAGGAAAATTTCGTGAATGATGCCGTTCGGCTCCGAAATAAAACACCACATCTTCCCTTCCAGTGTGTAGGCTGTTTAAAAATCGCTATAATGAATGTTTCAACGTCTCAGGCTCGCCATTTCTAACCCTTTTATCTTCACCATTCACCGGATATTCATGCACAAAGAAAGCGACAGTCAAACAGCTGAACGCAACAGCGCTGTAATTATTTCATTTACTGGCCAATCACATTGGGCCTGTTCGCTTGTGACACGAATTACGCATATTTACATCAGAATTGAATAAATTAGGACAAATATATTTATTTATCAATTACTGAACCATCAACGTTAGCTCCCTTTCCTCTTGTTTCGGCTGAAAGAAGTAAAATATTCCATTTATTACTTGAATCAAATTTTGCCTTACCACGTTGCGGATAGTAAATGATAAAAAGAGGAACAATCCTCCATTCTGCTTAAGTTGCTTCAGAATATTTTATTCACCCAAAATTGCTACTAAGATTCACACTTTGAGGGTCGAAAATAACAATTTTGTTTGATAATTTATCTAATCACTCCCGTATTTTTAGGAAATCAGGTTTTCGTCATCTCTCAGTTTCTGGCCTGCACTACAATTTCACATTCGTTCCGTGAGGAAAATTCTTAATTTTATTGTTAATATTTTTTGTCAGTTTCCTTTTTTGTTATGTAAAATACTCAAACAAAGCTTTACGCTCCGCGTCTGTTTTGTTTTATTTATCACCTGTTGATGGGAGGCTAGCAATTATTTCATACGGCAACTTTACAAAATAACTCCTTGAAATTGTAATTTGATCGAATCAATCGTTGCGTGATTTTTTCAGGTGTGAAACACTTTAATATTTTGTTGTTGTTGTTTTTGTACATTTCCAGTAGCACGTACGCGGTAAGGAAAAGAGTGGATTACAGAAAAGTGACGGTTGCGACAAATTTATCTCGAAATTGACAAATTCACAATTTATCACATTATCGCTCAGTCAATTTCAAGAGCGCTCATCCCACGGGAGATTAGTCGCGCATTTGTCATCAAAGCTCTGCACGAAGATAGAGTATTAATCATTGTTGAAATTCACATTTTTAAAAAGGCGAAATAGACGGATATAGCATATGAAAGAGAACATTACACAGAATACTGCTCATTAATAGTAAAAAGTCGTTTTTAAAAAATAATGGCCCTTACGTAATCAACCAGCAGAAAAATTAATGTCTCCTTTTTCTTAAGCCAGCAGAAGGTTTGTGCACGGCCACGACTGTAGTTCTTTTCGGAGAGAAGACCAACCTGTCACTGTGAAGAAACTCCATGGAACACTTTAGGAAGGTTACGACAAGGGTTCCAGCTAAACTCCAAATGATGGTGACAAGTTTCATCGCACAGTCGAACCTCCCGTAAGCACTCACCCAAAATGCAAAGACTGAGAGGTCGCTTACGGGAGGTGGTCGTTTACAACAATCGAACCACAGGGGTCTCTTCCGAGAAGAGGTCCGGGCGCATCTACTTTATGGAAGATAATTTATTGCATGCAAGTTAGGATGTGTGTAGTTCCATCTTGTCACTAAAGTTCTTCGTATATTCTTAATAACAAAGCTAACATAGCTAGAGATCAGAGAATGCGTCAAGTGGTCGCTTACAAGAGGTTAGAAACAACGCAATATCATTAACCGTCAGACCCAAAAAGTGGTCGCGGTCGCTTACAGGAGGTGGTCGTTTACTAGAGGTTCCAACTGTAAGGCTTTGACTGGGAAAGTTTTGGTGTTTTGGATTGGCTGTCGCTTACGAGAGGTGGTCGCACGTGGAGGTTCGTCTGTATTATTGAACCTCCCCTTTGGATACTACATTAGCTAATACTAGCTGTTTCTTGCGTCGTTCTATAGGGTTAAGTTAAGTAAAATTCTCCGAAAGAGAACAATTGGACCCTTTAAAGTATTGGAAAAAATTTCAGGTGATTGTCTTTGCCGTTTTCTTTATTATACCTGTGATTTATGTACAGAGGCGCTCTCTTGCTTACGAGTTTCATTTGTGAGGTTAATTCTGTTTTACATGCATGGCCGAGGAATTCAACACGGTGCAACCGAGAAGCATTCCATGCCAAATCCTACCAGAAAATGTATTTTTTTATGTTTAATTTTACTTGTGGTTGTCCTCTTCGCTTTCACAATTTTAATCTAACTTTGCGTCGTTAATGGCATTTGCCCTGTCACCAACAACGTTTTTTCTTTATTTATTTCTTTTTTTTTCCGACGAATTTGGCGAGCGAATTTGACATTGCGCTAGCAGTCTGATTATAAATCCCCACGGTTTTTACTTTTATACGAGAGCTCGATGATCTCTCAGATTAGGCTTGGATAAATTCTGCTCGTAAAATGGCTTATTCTGCCTGCCACCAGTGCTCGTAAAAATCTCTTAATCTGCTCAAAATTTTGCTCCAACACCCTTATTCTGCTCGAATTCTGCTCGGTATTTATTTTCGCAAATGTAGAGGGGAGCCTGGGCCTAACCACTACAAACTAATTAAATATTCATTATGCGTAGCAAAATTTTAATTCATCTTACTTTTAATGTGAGTGTGTTGTAGCTATTGAATAATCAAATTAATCACAAGGTATTTTCCATGTATTGTTTATTTAGTTTTTAAGTTTTATTACCGTGTCGCTGATTTTCCCTTATTCTGCTCAAATTCTGCTCGAAAATGCCTTATTCTACCGGCAGAAGGCTCGCCTCAAAAATCGCTTATTCTGCTCGAAATTCTGAAGGTAGAATTCATCCAAGCCTATCTCTAATAAAGAGAAAATAGAGGGTCTCCCAAAAGGCTACCGTTGCGGGGGGTCCCTCTCAGCACGCCCACCCAGCAGCGAAAGCCTTTGCTCGCCCTCGAAAAGAACCAGTGATGAATACTATCTCCCTGGTGTCACTGTTTCATGATCACACCCTTTTTTGGAACTTATCCTAACAGGCTTGTTGCCAAAAAGTATTACTAATTGAATAAAAGACCATATTAAACAGACAGGCTCGGATATTTAATTTGCACGAAACGTGACTCACAAGCACAGCTGACGTGAATTTGATGTTCCTTATACTCAGTGCAAATTTGGAGATAGCATCATTTTCCGTCACACGTGATCATTTGCTTTATAATTTGAAATGATTTTAAAAAATAAAAATTGAAAAAATAACCGAAAAGAACTAACGCTTCTAAGGGGTATTTAAATCTACTTTAATTTTGATTTGAAATCTTAATCAGGGAATCGACTTTTCTTTGACTAATTCTCTGTTCCATCTAACTAATTCGAATCTTTACGTGCTCGAATAATTTTAACTACCGGAATTTCCTAATTTTTAAAATCGTCTTTGACAATCTAAACATGAATATACAACACATATTTAATTCCATGAACAATCTGTCAACTTATTCGGACCTGACACACTTCGTTTTAATTATTTTATTTTGTGTTCAGTCGTATTTTGCCAACAGAGCATACTATAAATGGGATATTAACTTTTTAATGCTATGGCATAAATTCCGGTTTACCAAGATTTATCTTAAAACGGAAATGACAAGCGAGTTAAAGAACTGAGATTAAATAAATACATTTCTCAATCAACAAGAAACACGTTTCACCTTGGCTTTGAGTGGAGAAATTTTGAGACCCGACCAATTTTTTCGTTTGAACAAAACTTTCGTTAAATTATTCTGAGCCCGCATAAAAACGTTTCCCTGTAGGCTTTGGATGGGTAATTTATTTGCCCAATATTTCGACTAGACAAAACTAGCCTTCATCAGGCACTTTTCTAGCCCCTGTTTTGTCAGTGTTCTCTATTTTTCTCTCTCCCTCTCTTTAATATTTTTGTTTTTTTAGAAAAGCCGCGGAATTCATTTCTGTCATTTTTGGATGACATGGCACGTATGTCTTGTTTTGCACGAATTAATTTCCACGATCAAGGTACTCAGATCATCGCCTAATTAATCAAAGATTGCGGACTTCTCGGTAAACAAACTTCCGTTCCCAAAATGACTTATCGTAAGTGAAGTAAACATAGAGTGATTTTGCTTGAACCGTGAAACAGATACTAACAAATAATGCAAAATGGCAAAAGGTAAACGCCAAAGAGAACAATGGAATAGGTGCGTAATAGTGCGTAGTATTCTACCACCTGTTTTAATTTACCGGTTAAGTAAAATCACTCTAACCCAAAAGCCACGAGTCACTCTCTCGGTCAGGGACCTTACAATGCGACGAGAATAGGAATTAAACGCAGAAAAAGAGTCTATCGCTGATAATATTTGCGTCGTTAACACATTTCCCGCAAATGTTGGAGGTCGAGGTGACAAGTGTCAGATTTCAATTTCAGTTTCTTTTTCTGTGGCAAGAGAGGCTAAAATTTCCTTTCTATGCTAAATTTCTGTTTGGTCAACATGTTTAATTATCCAAAAGCTCCAGATACCTTCAAATCTCTTTGGTTCGAGAGAACAAGTAGGCTCAGTCTCAGTCGTGGGTGTCTCCCATCTAGGCACCCATGGCTAGAATGGGAGGGACAGTCCATTTCTCCTCCTCCGAGGTTGCCGCTGGGTATGATCCCGATTAAAATACTGAGCAATAATCGAAAAATAACAAGCGCGCGGGGGGCGATGGGAAGAGGGAAAAGGCGGGCGCTTCGTCTCTTTTCCCTTCCCATCGTCCCTCAGGGCGCTTTCTTTAATCCCTCTCCCCAGCCTCCCTACGACACAAAGAGGCATCTGCGGAGGAGAGAGGGGCAGTCCACCTTCAGTCAACTGAAACCCCTCTAAAAGTGAACTTATGAGGAGGTATGTCATTGGCTCTATGTACCAGCAGCAAAGCCATTTTAAAAGAAAGCATAAGACCATGGTGATGACAATCTCATCGACTGAACAAGGGAGCTCACACATGGAGTATTCCCTAATAGCTAACTGCGAGCAGTATTTGCTCCACGCGAGCCGCGATAAACATCGTCCTAATCCCTTGTAGTGACGTCGTTATTTGCAGTCCAAGATATGAGAAATAAGAGAGATAACACATGGTCAACTGTATTTTACAAGCATGTGGTACGTACCATCTACATAAAGCGAAATTTCCTGACCCTTGAAAGGTCTTCAGGCTGCAAACAATGATGCAAGGAAAGCTAGTGCCTTTTTATCGATTTACCAGTCAAAATCGTCGAAAGAATATTGACCGGTACCGCACACAAACAGCGTCACGAGTCGCGTCAACTCCAGAACACATATTGTTACACTTGCTTAGCGACCAGCCCGTAAAAAGTATAGAAATGTTGAAAACGCTTTTTTTTCTTCTTTTTTTTTCAATAAAGGCGAAAAAAGATGACAGGAACAGCCTGGAAGTGTAAGGAATGCTTCCTTCGATCGTTCCTCCTTTCGTTACGTTCCAGTCACGCAGCTTACCCTGTTCCCCTTATTCCCCTTGTTCCCCTTGTTCCCCTGTTCATCTCGTCCCCTTGTTCATCCTGTTCACCTTGTTCCCCTTGTTCCCCCTGTTCCCCTTGTTCCCCCTGTTCTCCTTTTCAGCTTGTTCCCCTTTTGTTTTCATTCCCCCTCTTCACCGTGTCCCCCCTTGTTCCCCTCGTTCCCCATTGTTCCTCCTTGTTCCCCCTGTTCCCTTTTTCCCCTTTTTCCCTTTTCTCCATTTCCCCCCTTTTTTCCCCTTGTTATTATTTTTTTTTTTTGCCAGGTAGATTTATTTATTGATAGAAAAAATTAATTACAAATACTTGTTCTTTTAACTATGAAAAATAATATATATATATTAAAAAAAACTAAATTTGTAAAGGAAAGAAACTAAATTAAAAGGAAAAAGACGCAAACCTTGTTACCCCTTGTTGCTCTGTTCCCCTAATTCCCCCCCCCCTGTTACCCCTTTTTTCCCTTGTTCCCCCTTTTTACCCCTTGTTCACCATGTTCCCCTTGTTCCCCTGTTCTCTCTTGTTCCCCTTGTTTTCCCGTTTCCCGCTGTTCCACCTTGTTCCCACTGTTCCCTTTTCCCCCCCTTGTTCCCCTTGTTCCCCCTGTTCCACCTTGTTCTCCCTTGTTCCCCTTGTTACCCTTGTTCCCCTTGTTTCCCTTGTTCCCCTTGTTTCCCTTCTTTCCCTTGTTCCCCCCGTTCCCCCTGTTTTCTTTGTTCCCCCTAGTTCTCCCCGTTCCCCCTGTTTTCCTTGTCCCCCCTGTTCCCCCTGCTACTCTTGTTCTTTCTTGTTCCCCTTGTTTTTAACGTTTGACCGCGGTGTGCCACTGAGCTAACAAAATTTTTTCCACATTATATTTCAAAAAGGCTCTCATAGATTTCTTTCAAATCTTGCCAAGGTTAAGATCCCAGAGGGGGTATTTCAGATTTCAAGTGACAAGATGAGTGAAAGGGGCCAAATATCAAAACCCCAAAAAATCCCATGCTGAATTTCTGAGCCTTAACCCCGGAATCAAAAATTTCAAACCCCAAAAAATCCTTTAATCATCCCTGTCACTTAAAATCCAGAGCACTCCCGATCCCCCCTCCCCCTACTCGTTATTCTGTTGCTATGGAAGCGGCGATGTCAAGAAAACATACATACAAAACATAAGTTCAATTTTTTATATATTAATTTAGTGTGACTTTTTCGTACATGCACTACAACCAAAGTTGTGGAGTGTCAAACACAAAGAGGTAAGACCTTGAAAAATGGGTGTTAGCCTCCCTAAATAAAGGATAGCTGAAAAAAAGGTGTAGTTGGTTATGTAACTCCGCTGTAACTTCTTTCAGACGCCTTTTGCAAAACAAAAGCGGTGTCTTTCCTAGATTTTGCCGCATTGTTTTAAAATCTCGGGAATCGTAAATAATAGTACTTTTATCTGGGCATCAATAAAAACGAGACTCAGAGAAAGTTCACTGAATTAAATTCTTGAATAACGACCTTCCCAGTAGTTGGCCATTTCCGAGTTCCAAAAGCTCTCAATTTCAAAACGAGACTTATTACAAAATCCTTCTTGTGAAAATGATTTTATTTGCATGAGAATAAAAATCATTTTCACATCAATGTCTTCGCGCCAGCAGCGAGAAACTAGGGGGTAAGTCTGGGAGGAAGATAGCCTGCGAACGGCTGACGTTTCTCCTCTCTCATCGCCGCTGAGGGACGTTTCGCGAGGAGGAGGAGGAGGAGGAAATGTCTCTCAGCGGCGATGAGCGAGTATAAACGTCTGCCGTTCGCAGGCAAGGAGGAAGAAAAAAAAGCGTTTTTTGTCTATACGCGCTCATCGTCTTAGTACTCAACGAATCTAAGTGAAATGGTGGACTGCAAGCAGTCTAGGCTAATTTTGAAAAGTGTGCGTACCTGCAGAAAATCTGTAGTTACAATCCTCGTAACATGGCCTTTGCCTTTGATCAGCACCTGACGTAGGAGAACTGGGGATGATGCTAAAGCTCCCAGGCGTTCTTTTCACTCTTTCCACCTTGCGCGCAATGATTGCCGGGTCCTCGAATCCAAGATGGCGTACAGAGATGAGATAGATGATGCTTTTGATGCAGCAGTTTTCCTCGAGGAAAGGTACCTTTTTACTCTTTTGATACAATAATTTTGGAATTTTCTTAATCCCTTAAAATTTCATCTTTCAGATTTTACGAAAAAGGCTACCAAGAAGGCTTTCACGATGGAAAAATCAAAGGTCTTCAAGATGGAAGACAGCTGGGTTTATTGAAAGGGTGTGAAATTGGCGGCGAGGTTTGTGCTGGGAGTCATAATAAATCAGCTGATAGTCCTGAAATTCCATAAGGAAAAGAATACTCATTTAGAACTCTGTGTTTTCACTGTCACGCCATCAAAAATAAAAATGCTAACCAGTCGATGTAGAAAGCCCAGAATTTGGGAAATGAAAGAAGATATATAAATATTCAAAAAGGTTCGCCAAACATCAGGTCTTTACGATAATTCATATGCGAGATATTCGGAAAAAAGTTTTACCCAAATTTATAAGGCTTTGTATGAAGAGGCCATGTTGGTGTCCCTTTGAGCTTATTTGAGGGGCACAAATATGGCCGCCGCAAAGCAACAGAAACATCTGTTTTTGAGTTTTACTTATGCGTGAATTCCCGGGGGGGGATACTTCCTTATAAGAGCTCAGTGGGGACGTGTGGCCATCTTGGGTTTGTTTTTCGGGATTTTTGTCTCAAACAGGGTATCGATTTTATCATTTTTTCTTTATCGGGGTATCGATTTCATAAATTTTTGTCTGAAACAGGGTATCTTTTCTTGGACGATAACCAGCCTGTGCGTATGTTCTAAGAACTAAACTACAGCAAAATTTTTATTTATTAGTGTCTTTCACAGGGTATGCTTTCGGGTTAAATGTCTTAAACAGGGTATCAAAAATCGGAATCCTGTCTTAAACAGGGTAGGAAAATCAGCGATTTTTGTCTTAAACAGGATCAGGGTATGAGGGGCCAGTCCACACCTTCCCACCCAAGGATGTATCGAGTACGGGGGGGGGGGGGGGGGTGAATTCATTGCTTGCAGAACTCATAAAGATTAAAGTAATATTTATTCTAACACAAGGAATGTTTAGCTAGCAAAATCTCAGAAAATCAGTAACGTTTTTAACCCACCTGTGAGCTTTCCTAGCCACCAGCTAAATGCTGCATCACGTAAAAGCCTGGAAATTCAAGCGAAATGAAGAACCCTTTGGAACCGAAATTTTGTGCAATAAAGGTTTTTAGGTGCTGTTATACTTCATGAGAGTAGAAACTCGGAAGAATCCATTGTTTCTTAGTTTGAATTTTGGTGACTTCATGTGAAAACTCCTAACAGGTACACCAAGGTAAATCTAAGAAGATGATTGAAGCTGGTAGTGTGAAAGTTGATAAACAGCAGTTCTGGGACGTTCCAAATAGAAAACCAGTCGTTTTGATACAAATTCGAGCATTTCAAGTATAGTTTGTGAGTGAACAAGAAAAACATTTTGGGTGAATATCTTCGTTATTTAAGCCAAGTACGTGGAACTATTTACACCTCTAATGAATAAACTTGTTACGAAACAACTTGTATTGAAACAACTCTGTATCGAAACGACCAGTAAGTCCAGTAACCTGCAAACACAGCTGCATGAACCGGAACCTCTTGATCCAGAGTCAGCACACTGATCCTTACACCACCTTGCCTCGGGCCACTCAAGTTGCTTCTTTGTGTTAAATACAGTATTTAATGTGTTGCTTAAATATGTTGCAGGTTGGATTTTATCTTGGGTTTGTTTCATTGTGGCTTGAAATTCAGCTTGAAAGTCCTGATGCAAAGCCAAGGTACTGCTTTCAGTGGTAATTGACCAGTAGATATATTGAAGGTCCTCTAGATTCCCACCCAAAAAAAACTTCTCTTGCTGGTCAGGCAAGAGTCTTGCACATTTGAAAATACCACTGTTTTAATCTATATTTTCACAAATATATTTTTATGTCCTGTTGCCTGATTTTTGAGAGACTGTCATCAATGTATACCATTGAGACTTCATTGCGGTTTTCCCTCAGGTGTGTCAAATTGTTAGAGACCGTTAAGGACATGCTTCTGAGCTTTCCTATCAATGATCCCACAAATGAAGAAATGTTTGCTAAGCTTGAGAAAATTCGGGCCAAGTTTAGACAGGTAACATATGTACATTGCACTGTCAAGTCTTGTCTTTTCTCAAATAAATGCATACATATGCATGTGCACAGGAAAAAATAACAGATTCTCATTGTTGGATATTTTAGGGTATTTAAAGAATACCCATAAAAATCCCAAATTTGGCAAAGTGAGACAAGTCCCAACCAGGGAAGTCCCAACCAAGTTCCCTGATCGGGACTTGTTTCACTCTTCCAAATTTGGGATTTTTGTGGGCATTCTTGAAATACCCTAAAAATGGGAATCTGTTATTTTTTTCCTGTGGTGGATAGGATGGTATTTCAAAGAAACAATTCTCTTGGGTAACATCACACGGTCTGAAATGGGAAAGCAAAACTAAGACACTTGTAAGAGACTGCAATAAGCTGTTACAAGAGAGAAATACACACACTTTAATGATAACCAAGTAACTTATTTAACTGCCCAAATATCGAGCCATGGGTGCTGGAATGTAAGACACGCTGTATTGTGAAGTATTTTGTAGCAGCTAGCTTTGATTCAATAAGAAATATATCAATAAGTTTATTGTCATTGACTAATAATATTGCTGAAATTTCTATTGCATCAGGTATGCTCATTGCTTGGAGTAAGTGTTGAGTATCATGGTGGTGGAAATGTGTCAGGAATGTCTTTTTGAAAACACTACAGTTATCAGGAAAGAGGAATACCTCATTCAGTCTGGAAACCCCTGAAGCTTCCTAATCCAATTGAGATCCTTGTAAGGTAATCATCATTAAGTAGATGATACATAGCCTGTAGTGCAGGTTTTTTTCTTCAGGCACGTGGATGTTTTTTTTTATGTGAAAGTGCCATGTTGAAACCCTAAGAGTTGCTATTTCTGCTCTCCCCAGTCTTCCCGTTATAAAATCAAAGATGGTGGCTGGTCCAAAATATGCCTGCACTGCAGGCTACGTAGAGAAAAAAGAAATGGCCAATAGAATACTATGTCACTAAATATATTTCTGTGTATTGTCTCTTAATTTCATGATACTAAGCTAGACTTTCTTTCATGTGACAGACTGACCATGACCAGATGGGAAGAAAAGGAGAACCACCAGCAAAAAGAGCAAGATAAAGATCTACCATCACCTCCACGCCCACCAACATCCTACGCCCCATATCCATTTGTCCATTCCAGCCACCTTGCACTCAGTCAACTATCACAACCCAAATTTCAGCTTTATGCCATCTGCATAACATATACACACATTCACCCGTTCTACCTTCCCCTTTACCACAACATCATCATACACACAACCACGCTTGTCACAACTTCCACACTTCATATCCCACATCCCACATGTGTCATATCTAACATAATCACCTCTACCACAAATCATTACATCATGAGCATTAAGTTTCACATCCCAGACCCTGGTTGTATAAACTATCATTCCCTCACTAAACTTGTATGCATTCCGCTCTCAGCACCACCATGTCCATCCACAAAATCCAGTAGCAACCACACCACACCACAACACACAGGATGAAGAGTCACATACCTTGTAAATATGATAAATATTGTGAATGTAAGAAGAAACCTCTAAATACAACTGTTATAATTAAATTTAACATGATTTATTTTCAAAAAACTTTTTCAATATGTATTTTGAGCTTAAAAAGTTGGTTATGTTTTAATGGCGACGTAAATATCTCAACTTAATAAGTTCTGTCAGGGATCAGGTTCCTGGGGAGTACCCCACAGAGGCAGCTACAGCTGTAAGCTACGTGCAAATGGACGCAACAACTTCCAACATTGTTGGTCCATCATGTGTGTTGGTCTATCACACAAAGTTATTGCTTTCCTGTCTCCAAGGAGACCATGTGTAATGCATGTGCGTAGCCCCAACAATGTTGGAAGAGCTGTGCAAACAGATCCAACATTGTTGCGATACGTCTCGGTGATCACAGAGCAAAAGAAATGTTGGGAGTTTTTGACTCAAAAGTTGGACTGGTTTCAAACTTTGCACCAATACTCCCAATAACACACAACAACTGGCAACAGGGTGTACAAACTGACGCAACACGTAACATCCAACTATGTTAGGAGTTGTTGGCCAATAAAGTTGCGTCCGTTTGCAAGGGGCTTAAGTATATAGACGTACGTATACACGTCATCATGTGAAATATTACATTGAAATTGTTAGAGTTTTTCAGGAGTCTGTGTTTTCTTGTCTTTTTTCAGTAAGATGTATGTCAATAATAATTGGTTCAACATAGCAGAAGGATTTTTAAGAGTAAAAGAAAAATCCCAATAGTATTGATCGTTATACTGAAAATCTTAACCTATATTTTCTTTTCTTCGATTTTGGCATAAGATGAAACTATCATCATTCTAATATTATTTCTAGTTAATGTTTTGCTGAAAAGCACAAAACCGATCAATACAAGCTAACTTAAACAAATCTGTGTCATGTGGGCAAGCTACAAGCTGCAAACCATCACAGAAAGAATTTAACCTGACCTGTTGCATCGAAAAAAATTATTTTCCTCAATGCATGAAGTCACACTTTATCTAGTGACGCTAGTCATTAGCCTGCTATATGACATAAAGGTGAAGCATCATTTTGTTGTGTCAGATAAATAAGCTTCACCTTGTGCAATCGAAATTTTTTTCTTTGATGCAAGAAATCACACTTTATTTTCTACAACAAGACAGGTTACATTTCATGCTTTCTGCTTTTTGGCCTGAAGGGATTATTTGAGGTGGGATATAACAATTTTATTTGGCCTCATTTGAACCTCCCTGTCATTATTCTACCAAAATACTAGCCAGTTCACACACTCTTTATTTTCTCTTTAGAGATTGTCATGTGTGCAATGAAAATAAAAACTGAGCAGGAATTACTAACAAACAAGCATAAGGAGGTGAGAAAGAAAAAGAAAAATTCCTGTAAACAGGCTACTGAAGTACCCCCCTGGAGAAGGGGAAGGAAGGCCTTTTCCTCTGTGTCGTCTTATAAACAGGGTGACATACACAAGAGCATTAAGTCCCTGAACTGAGGCAGCTGTACGTAGGCTGCCAACAAACAAGATCCTAAGGTGTCCTCAATCGAGCAGTGTGTTAAAATAATTGTATCAAAATTCAAACAGAGGGAACCACCACCAAACTGCCCAAAATGTAAAAGGAAAAAACGTATAAATACAAAAGGAGCCACGGATAGACCAACTTGAAGAAGATCGAAACCGATTTCAATTGTGGTTTTTGAAAACTTGTTAGCCTAAAATTTTTTTTAATGTTTGACATAATGCTTGTTGGAAACAAAACTGTGATTTAGTCCCTGGCAAGTAATTTCGCAAGTCCATGGTGCATAAAAATATGAAGAAGCTATGACACAGCCCCTTTGATAAAAACACTATTTAAAGATTTTACAAAAAATGGTAATTGCAAATTATCAATTTTTTTTAAAAAATTATTTCTTCTTTTCTTTTGCCTTTCTAAGGTCAATGTCTCTAAACAGAAGTGGAGGAGATGCAGGCAGCAATTCTTTTTTGCCCTTTCTCCTCTCACAGTTTGTTTTCACTTTTGATGGAACCCATGGAATTGGATTATAATAACTTGGAGCAGGATATGAGCCCCATTCATAATACCCCGTCAACACTCCTCCTGTGTAACCAAAGCTGTTGTAAACTGGTTTAGGTCTCTCTTTAACCTGTGCCATCCAATTGATGTATGCTTCCTCACTATGCAGTTTTCTCTCCACTTCCCTTTCTTTCTTTTCTCTTGCATTTATCTCTTCCTTTCTCTTCTTTTCTCTCTCTTGAACTTTCTTATCGTCCAGCCAATTATTGTACTTCACAGCTGCTTTCTCCAAAATAAAGCGTCTTGAATTTTCTTTCTGTTCTTGTTCAAGTTGTTCCTTTAGCTTTTGAGTCCTTCTTTCCTCTGCTATTACCATCTTTTTCCTTTCAAGCCATTCCTCGTATTTTTCGCTCGCCTGTTTCAGAAGTTGTTCCCTTTCCCATTTCTTTCGCTCACTCTCCTCGGTTTCCTTTTTCGTGTCAAGTCGTTTCTGCTTCGCCTTCTCACGATCTTCTGCAGTCTTTTTAATAAGCCAACTTTCCCACGGCGAAAGACAATCACCTTTACTTTTAGCTGTTTTAGAGCTAGCAATTTTACCACTTTTATGATTTGTTGTATTTGATCTGGAGACAGAACTGGTCGATTTCCTTGAAGAACTTTTGTGCCTTGAAAAGGAGTTACTGGCAAACGGAGTAGTGTATCCATTTGTTCTTGGCTTATCTGAGGTGTAAGACTTTTCAAAATCGAGACTATAATCTTTTCCGCTATTTCTAGACTGATGAAGGCTTTCCTTGTCTGTTTCATCGCCGCTACTTAGGGAACCGTCAGAGAGCTCGGAGGGTTCAAATCTGCCGCCATCACCATGAAAAACTGGCGAGAGCAAAGAACGAGTCGAATCACCGAGGGAATCGTCCGAAAATGTCTTTGCAAAAACCCCTTGATCTCCCTGCGGTCTTCCATACATCGTTATTATTTATCTCCAATATACCAATAACCTCTATCTGTGACTATAACTCGAGAATTTGGCAGTAATACACCACGCGACAACCGTCAACAAGGCCATTTTGAAAACAAATGCACAGGCACGAGATTCAAATCCGAGGGAGACTGTAACTAGGGCGAGAGACTGGGTCGAGTATATTTTGAACTGAAGGTAAAATATATTGAAGGGAATGGGAAGTCGACAGAATGTTTTTGCCCGGAGTTAACACAAAAATATGGCTATTCCCTTTCTACAATTCCTAATTAGGACTGGTTTTGCTGTTTTCTCATGTCTTATTATCGTACAACACGGACTTAAGAAGAAATCACTGGATGTGACCGGCGCTGTTGCCGCTGTAGTAGTAGGGTTTTTGTTGACCTTGAGCAACCTTTGCTTCTTCGCTTCTTGTGCAACGTTCTTCCTCTCAAGTTCAAAGCTGACAAGATTCAAATCCGACGTCAAGGAGAAAATAGAAGACGACTTTAAAAAAGGTTGGTATCAGAAGTCTTCCCTTTCGGTTCTTTCAAGTGACAAATGAGTTTTCCGAAACGAACTTGTGATCAACCCTTCACAATTGTGAAAGTGCCACTCATTACTTATTTACGTTTCTTGAAAACTCCTTTAGTGTGTCAAAAATGACAGGTAGATTTTAAAAATAACTGGAAAGACACCGGGGGAAATCTTTCCATCATAATAAGCTTAACTTCTACTGCGAGGTTCGAAAGTTCACGTAGTCTGAGGTCAAAGTACAAACTATTTAAACAGATTGCACAGATTTAATGCGGATTTACGTTAACTTAATCTTACACTGTTTTTTGAAATAAACTTTTTAATTGAATGTTTATGGTTATCGTTGTTTTGTTTTGTTTGTTTGTTTTTTTCTGTTGTCAACTTATCTTCTGATAGTGCATGTTAGTGCTATGGTTAATACTGAGACAGCTTAATGATATTGTATTTGGCACAAGCAGAAATGCTTTCAAGTTCTTTAGTAAAGGCCATCTAATTATTAATAATTGGTTTATCATCAAAATGCTTGAGCTACATGATACAGTCAACACTTGCCTTGCGGACACCCTAATAATAAATTACAGACGTTTGACTGAACTATACTCCCTTTGTTACGGACTCTCACTAATGATGACTCTAACTCAAGGTCCCAACAGTGTCCACTATAAAGGGAGTTGACTGTAACAGATTATGGAAATTGTTTGGTGGATTATCGTGAGAAAATAAAAAGTAGATTGATGCAAATGAAAATATTTATGACAGAATGACAAAGGTGAAACAGCAAGGAAACTGGCCACCAGGCTAAATGAACAGCAGAAATCAATGTAAGCCTGCGATCTCAAGTCTGCTATGTCTGAACACAAGGGTGCAGGCTACTCCATCGACTGGGCCAGTGTAAAAATAATTGGCCAAGAAAACCACCTGCTTTCACACAAGATACTTGTGGCCATAAACATTCATACTTGGCAACTGGCAATGAACCATGATTAGGGCTACCACCTTCCCTCAATTTATAGGATAATTTTGTAGCCTCATCAAAACAAGGATGCAATTCATTAACAACAAAATAATGTCACTGATGAGGGGATCAGGATGGGTTCCGAAAGCTCTGCGTAACTTTCATGAATTTCTTGTATTTTGAAGAATATTATTTTCTTTGCAAAATTATTTGTTCCACTGATGGCCCTTTTCCATTACTCTTCCTGTGTTTTATAAAACACAGCATTATTCTCCCTGGTTGTTTGTAAGAGTTTGTTTTGTTCTCAAAATGTCTGGCACTAACAAAATTGGTCCTTAGTCAAAAAACATAAACGTTAACATAAATTACTCTTAATTGCACACAAGAGGAAAATAGATTGAATTTTTATATTTTAGAGATTTTTCTTGCTAAGTCCCAGTATGGCATCTTCCTAGAAAAAAGAAATCTTTCTGGGTCTTCTTGTCTCATGACCCGAAATGGACAGACCTCATGGAAAAATGAGGCCTCGGGACTAGGCCAAGATTTCTCCAAATTATAAGATCAGTTGGGTAATCAAATTCTCTCTGATGATTGATTATAAAATTTCAACACTAGTTATTGTAGATGATGTCATCCAGGTTTTGTTTATACTAGGCTGGGCTCTAATCCAAGCATTAATTTTATGGTACTCATAAATACCTTTTGACTGTCTCTTGCAGGAGGTCAGAGAAATTGGATACAGGTTTTCTGCAATGGAGGAGTGCCAACATTGCTGGCCCTGTTTTATATGATTGATGTCGGTATTGGAGAACATGCAATTGACTTTGCAAAGGACTTTACTTCATCTGTGCTTTCTATTGCTGTTCTCGGATCCTTTGCTTGCAGCTGTGGGGATACGTGGGCATCAGAAATAGGAACAACCATAAGTTCTCATGTCCCTGTTCTTATAACAACATTCACTAAAGTCCCTGTAGGAACCAATGGTGGAATCACAATAACTGGAACTGTCGCAAGTGTTCTTGGTGGAACTGTGATTGGAGTTGCTTATTATTTATCATTGGTATCAATATTGGCAGTGCGCAGGATCACAGTGATTACCCCACAATGGCCAGTCATAGTAATGGGTTGTTTAGGAGGCTTTCTTGGATCTGTGTATGATTCATTACTGGGTGCAACTTTGCAGTACTCTGGATATTGTTCAGTAAGGAAACGTGTTGTTAACAAACCTTCCCCAAGCACAAAACACATTTCAGGAAGATCCATCCTTGATAACCATGCTGTCAACCTCGTGTCAAGTCTTCTTACAAGTATCACAATGCCCTTCATTGGCTACTTTTTATGGAAAGCGATTGATGACCAATATTAGGATTGTGTCATGACTGATGCTTTCAAGGCTATGAGCACTGAGCAAGATTAGCCAGTTCCCAGCAAAACACCTTAAGTGTGTTTGCCTTTCCCGTGTGCTTCTGATGCAGTCTTTGTCATTTTTTTACCCTAACCAGAGAAAACAGCCGCATTCTGTGATGCCACGACTGGTTTCCCCGCGAAATTACGTCTAATGAATGAGTGGAGAAATTCCATACTGATGACTACCCAGATTAGAAGCTCTACCCAGATCTAAGCAGTGGCATGTCATCAGCTGTTCCTCGGACATCATTTTGCGGGGTAACTAGTGATGCTATCGTGAAAATGTTGGCTGTAGCCTGCTAGCAAGCTCTCGATGTATGACAAGCAAAGCAAGCCGAGAGAGAATGCGTAAGCAACAAAGCTGCAAGGGGTGGAGGAAAGGAGAGCTTGCAACGATCTCTTATAAATTTTCATTTCTGCTTCGCCCAGACGAAGGGAAATACCATTGCCTGAAAAATGACGCACCGCCAATTAATTTTAATGGATGAAATTCTTGGCTGACCCACCATAAATGTTTGCCATACATTTAGAAACACAATACTTCCAGAAATCGGGAAAATTATTACTCCTTCATCCGGCAAGGAACATGGTCGCTCTCTCCTTCTGTGATCGATGAACCATTTCGGAGGACTGTGTGGCTGTAATTTTTTACCATCCAGTTTGGATCTCAACCTCGGCCACAGAAAGCAAATCAGAAGGCTGGGAAGGGGTTGCCAGTAAAATGTTATGATACTAAATCTCACCACATTTGTTGTGTTTAAAAGTTTCCCCACAACGAAATCAGTTGATTCGATATCCAAGTGGATACATGGAAGATCGATCTCTCAAGAAAAAAAGAAAACCACTGCAGTGATGAATACAACATTATTTTGACAAAGTGGAAAGTAACTTATTTCTAGTGACAGTTTTGACGCTTTGCGTTTTCCTGTGGTTTGCGTGGTGGAAATGAAAAGTTATGGGAGATCATTGCAAGCTCTCCCTTTTTTTCCTACCCCTTGCACGCACGTCTCCTTTTGCGTGACTTCTCATGACTCCCCTAAATGCAGAGCTTGAACGCAGGCTATGTTGGCTGTTTTATCAGGCTACTTAAACTTAGCCATGTCAGTGAAACCGCACTGAAGGCAAACGCACTAAGGGTATTTACCAAAATCCATAAATGGATTATTGATCCAAATGATCCACAACAGAGGTGGATTTTTTGGATCCTATCCAAAACCAGATACTTTGGAAACATGATCTAAAGCATTTGTCTTTACTACAAATACGAAAAAAGTGAATACTGCCAGCAGTTACTCGAAACAAATACAATTGTTTAAGCTGTTTGACTACAATGCTCGTGTTTACAGCCATTTTTGAACCCAAGGCATGGATTAATGGATTGATTTTATCAATTTTATCAGGGTGGTAAAATCACAATACAAACAGGACCTGCATTATTCTAGTTCACAAGGCTGACAAAACTGCTACACTGAACTTTGCTGGGGCATCTTGCAAGACTTTACTTTTCCAGTACATATCTTATTGCAAGACTCATCTTCATTTGGCCTGTCTAACTCAAGCACTATCCTTGAGCTAATCGTCCAGAATACAATGAAAGAGCAGCAGCAGCAAACTTGCAACATTTTCAGGAGCAGTTTGTTCTCTTAACAAAAAGTCCTAATGATCCAGATTTTTTATGTGATCTTGGATTTTGGTAAAGAACATTACTAACCCTATGATGTTATGACAAGTCCACAGCTCCAAGTCTTCTGTCTTAAAATTTGACCTGAAATGTGTCAGCACTTTGAAAACATCTCTAATATTCTAAGTCATGTCTATATTACTATCTAAATGTTCCTTTAACCTCAACTCTGAGAGTCAAGAAAAACTCGGCTTAAAATTTCACCTCATGAATTTTCTGCACTCCAAAAAAATTTATTACAGACAAAACTAAGTGGTTCAATAAAAAAAATATTACTCTATTTTTAAAGGAGAAGGACTGGATTATTCATATTTGGTGCTGTGGTATTATTTATACAAAGTTAAATATGGTTTAAGAAGCCATTATGGCTAAACCAAGGTATAAATATATTTTGTTAAACCTGGTGTTGTTTAAAAATGTGATATCATCTTAAAATTTTGAGTATTTAATTGCATGTCATATATATTAGTATAGTACACACGCAGTAAGTTATTTAATGTCAAAACTACCTGAGTGTGTTGATGTGTTAAATCAAGAAAATAAAACTCTGTTTTTAAGCTTTAAAACTCTTTATTTTTTGTCATTTTACTGTTCTAATTAGTGTAGAGCTTTTATTACAGTCAGGCTTTTACAAGCAGCCACCCTCTATTAGAAAAAAACCAGTTGCCAGGGTCCATAAAAGCCAGTAAACTGAAATAAAATCTCTATTAAACAGCCACCTCTATTATGCCAGCCTCCTACACAGGTATTTTTTTAGCTCATCACACAATCTTGCCCAGCGTAGGGTGCATGGGGGAAGGACTGCGTGATGAAGACCAAAAAACGTCTGCAAGGGAGGCTACTATTATGTTCATGTATTGACCACACATGGATCTATCATAAGATTATTTTGCTTTCTGTCCTGTAGAACCGTTTTAGTTAGTGTAATATTGCATGGTGTGTTGTACTGGTGACACAAGCAGACAAATAAAGAAGAGTAGAAAATCTGCATCTGCCAATGCAAGCTTTTGAACGGGATATGTTGTTCTTTAGAGGACATTGTCTTTGAACCAGGACAATGCCAAATCATTTATATAGAACATGCATGATGTGTAAAATCTCTTAGGTTGTGAGTTGTAATTTAATTAACTGCTACAGTTTAGTAAAGGTCTCTGTTGATTTTTTGTAACCTTCTTGTACTTGTCCTAGGGAAGTTTTCACAATATAATACTACAGTTTACTCTTTCTGACGGGGCACCTATCATTGATCCTTGCCTTACTTTCGCCCCTTTATTTGACTCTCTATATGATCGACATCATTCTTAGATGGACACTCGGTGCTGGTCCCATAGAGAGACTTTACTGTATTACTTTCATTAAATACCTGTTATCATGGTATGCTATTACTTGAATTTTTTTCATCATCTACAATCCATCCTCACTGGAGCCATGACAACATTCAGTGGTTTTGTTCAAAATAGTTATGGTCAGTCCTAGGACCCGTCTAATTAATCTGAACACAGACTCCAAAACGCTGTATTAAAGTTTACTGAAATAAAAATATACTCCTTCTATTGTAAATCACAACAAAGACTAAAAGAAATAAGTGTCGTTTAACAACAGCCACAAGAACAGCCACAGGAATCACACAAACAGGATATACCACAAAAACATCTTCAGATCGATCAATTGATCTTTGTGTCCTATGAGATGCATACCACAAACTATTTTGTGTCTTTGGGGATTTTTATGTGTCAGGGACACCGGACGCAGAATATTATTGGGTGCTCCCACGGTGAAGCTGGGTGAAATATATGTGAATTCCCTTTTTTTACCCTTGTGATGTTATAAATAATTATAAATATTGTTAAGTTTTAATAATAATATTATTATTATTATGGCAGCTTTCTCAGCTGGATGCTAAAAGTTTAAAAAGCTGCGCAGGGTGGACAGCATAACCTGTGAGCCTAGGAGACTTAAAAGAAATATAGCCATAATAATAAAAATATATACATAAAAAAATATGTAAAAATATCTAGATCTATCACACCAATGTGAATTGAAGACTGAAGAACACATTACTATATAGGCAAAAATGCTAAACAGATATTTTCATTAAAAAAAAATTATATTATTCACATTTAGTTTCAAGCTGTTTTTTTTTTTTTAATTTATTTTAAAAATTCTTTTCTGACTTGTAATAGACTTTGGTCAATGTCCTATAAAAAACCAAAGAAAACGTTTCTATTTTGGAACAATATTTAATTGATTTTTATTGTCATTGAACCACCACCGCGGAGGGGTCCCACGAGCCCTATCTTAGCCCTATCTTAGCGCTATCTGGGTCGGAGCTCGAGGACTGGGCCTTTTACGTAACCTAATACAAAGACAGTGGTGAAGAGGGAGAGTGGGGAAGTTTGTTATCCTTGGTGAGGCTGCTCAAGGTTCCCTGGTTCCGAGCATGTTAAGGAATTAATCCTGTTTAATTTAGAAATGATATTTGAACACTGTGCGCTTAAGTAGCAAGTTGTTTTGTTAACTTTGAACCTTTCCTTCAGATTCGGTTTCGTTTCCGGCCGGCGACGTCGAAACTTCAAGTAAGTCCGCGTCATGGAAGAAGCGCTGTCAAAAACAGAAAATGGTGAAGCTTGGAAAAATGGGGCTTTACACGCAATCATGAAAATGATATTAAATCCAACAGAGACACAGCGCAACCACAGATCGTACCTCAATTCTTGGCAAAGATACAAGACGTTTGAGGAAGGGCTGAAAAAAGAAAGTGGTAGAAATGTTGAACTTCTCCTCTCTGGCAGCATGGCTGAATGTCTGTTTGCACAGCACTGGGTCTACAAGGATGGTAGAAGGGAAGCTTTAAATGATATTGACATTATGCTTGTGGATTGTTCGATGACAATTGTAGAAAGAAGCGAATTGGTCCAATTGGAGTGTTCAGGGGTCGTTGATAAAGACCAAGACTCTCAGACAGCCGCAGTCATAAAGATGAATTCATGTTATTCCACAGCTAAATGCTGCAGACAAGAACAACTAAAACCCTTGGACACTCCAACGCCTGCTAGCACTCCTCCATCACAAAAGGGGTAGTTTCGAAAACGAAGCACTCGAAAACGAAGACCGAAGCACGAAGCACCCAAAACTCGAAAACGAAGCACCCAAATCTCGAAAACGAAGCACCCTAGATCGAAAACGAAGCACCCTAAATCTCGAAAACGAAGCACCCTAAACCTTCGAAAACGAAGCACCCAAAACTCGAAAACGAAGCACCCTAGATCGAAAACGAAGCACCAAATCTCGAAAACGAAGCACCCTAGATCGAAAACGAAGACCCCAAAATCTCGAAAACGAAGCACTCAAATCTCGAAAACGAAGTACCCAAAACTCGAAACCACTGTAGGCTGTACGTCTTGCATGACGCAATCCGAATCAGGTGGAGGCAGCGGATGCGTCCGCACCTCCAAAGGTCCACAAAATCCACCCCAAGGTTTTATAAGAGCCTGCCAACTGTTTAACTGAACGTTTCTAGATGGGATATAGTGTATTAATTTTATTATTGGTCTCGCTATACTTGATACATCTTACCTTAATATGCGTTTTTTCGGTACACATGCATGTTTATGTAGACTTGAAAAACTGTCCGTCAGCAGATTTTGGCGTATTCAAGTACGCGTGAGCAGTAACACAAAAGGTCTGAAACGAGGCTGGAAACGGAGTGTGAGGCTCGCGCGTATTACTCTTACGCCACGCTTTACCGACTTCTTTACTGATTTTGAGAAAAAAACCGACTGTTTTGCAGTCTACCATATCGGATATTTTTGACACTGCGTGATCAGATCAGATCAGATCCAGGCAGAATTTTTTCTAGGGTAATAGCCTGGGATCAGGCTCTATGGTGGGGAACAGGAGAATTTTGAAATAAAAGGAGCGAATAAAAAAAGGAGAGTTAAGCTACTGAGAAGGAGGTCGGTGGGGCGAAGCCTGAAGATATGCTTTTTATGCCACCGATCCACCCTTAACTACACTAATTTGCAAATGGCCTTTAACGAGGAATGGAATAGAAAACGCTCATCATTTTGTACGGGGATACTTGCAATACAGTAATACGGCAATACAGTAATATTCTAGAAATAGTTTGGGCGTTCTCAGTTTTCTGATCACGTCCAAAACATAGCCTCCCACCGGGCCTCCCACGCAGCGGCGGAAATGCATTTACAACTTGAGTAGATTTCAACTGCATTCGATTCGTTATCCAATACTCGTTATCGCGCTTGATTTCTGCTGTATTTACATTGAGCTCGTGTTTATAAAGGACAGACCGGTTTCGAGTTTTTGGGTGCTTCGTTTTCGAGTTTTGGGTGCTTCGTTTTCGAGTTTTGGGTGCTTCGTTTTCGATCTAGGGTGCTTCGTTTTCGAATTTTGGGTGCTTCGTTTTCGAGATTTAGGGTGCTTCCTTTTCGAGATTTAGGGTGCTTCGTTTTCGATCTAGGGTGCTTCGTTTTCGAGATTTGGGTGCTTCGTTTTCGAGTTTTGGGTGCTTCGTGCTTCGGTCTTCGTTTTCGAGTGCTTCGTTTTCGAAACTACCTCACAAAAGGAGCTCTTTCTTGAGCCAACTAATCACGCTGGCTATGCTCAACTGTATGAACTTAGTGTGGAGGGCAAGCCTGTTTTCCTATCAGTGGAAAGTTTCAAGGGGTTCTGGTCTGGGATTGTTAACAAAACTGCTTTATATTCCCTGGTCACAAGTGGTCCACAGCTTCCATCAGGCGGGGCTGTTGTGAGTGGCCCTGCCCTAAACAGACGGGATCGCCCAAACAGAAGGAATAACTACGCTCATGATTATGTTCCATGTTTGCATTGTCCTAAATGGCCAACAATGGCAAATAAATGGTCTGAAAGGAAAAGAACAGTTGAATGGCCTGGTGAAAGGTTAATTTCTGATATCATGAGCGATGGTTGTCATGTTGTTCCTGTATCTCACCACAATAATGACAATAAGTCATACCATACTGAGTGGAGGCTATCTTTTTCTGGTGCAGAGAAAAGGCTTGTGAACTCTTTGTCAATGGAGCAACGTCAAAGTTACATTATTGCAAAGTTAATTATGAAACAAGTAATCAAGGAAATTCAGGAAAGGCCCTCTCAACCTCCTCTTGACAAAACTCCATCTTCTTATCATTTGAAAACAATCCTATTATGGAAATGTGAGGAAAAGCTCTTAGAAGAGTGGAACAACCTTCTAAATTCAGCAGTAGGTTTGCTGAAAACCTTTGAAGATCATTTGAGAAAAGGTAACATCCCAAACTACTTTATACCTGAGAACAACATGATCAGTCACATAAAACATTACGAGCTTGTTTCAGTGGCAGATGGAATAGCAACATCCCTGGATGATCTTCCCAAAACATTGCACCATGTTTTTCTTAGTGCTTATAATACTGTACTGGACTATGATCATGATTACAGTCCAGTGTTAAGACTTGTTGATTATCAGTTAAAGCTTTTTTGTCACACTGGCAAGGCAGGAGATAAATTCTATCTCCTCTATATCCTGAATTTATTGGTGGACTCACTGTCTGCGACAATTACAGGAATATGGGACGATCTACAACCTCTGAAGGACTACAAGCATATTTTAAACATTTATTGTAGTCATTGTAATGTACAGGCTGGACATGTAACACTTCCACGACCCCCAGATTTGAGTGCTGAAGAGTCTAGCAAAACCATGATGATTCTCCTCCAATATCTGTACACTTTATTGCAAGACAATCACATTCTGAATCATCTGCAAACTGACATCTTTGCGGTCATGTCAAGAATCTTAACGCGAACTCTTCCTTCATTGTCTTTAAGTGAAGGAACAGAAGAATTGTTTGGTCAATGTTGCAAAGAAAGCCTGAACATATTTCAGACTGTTTGTAAGAAACTTGGAATAGACCACAGTTCAGACGTTTCATGCCATGATGAATTAACTGTACTTTCTGGTATCAGGTTCATTTTCGTTAAGAACCCAGAGTTTGCTGAATTGCAGACCTTTGAGTTTGCCACCCAAAGATTAAAAAAGTTCAAAGAAGGGGGTCAGTTGGAAACTGTAAGACATCTGCAGTGGTAAAATGAAAGCAAGGTTTAGATTGAAGACTTGGTACAGTACAACTTTTAATTCAGAGGATCCCTTAGAAGTGCACTTGATGAAACTGACAGGTTGATATAGACACGCTCTCCCAAAAGATTTTAATCATTTGGACTCTCATTTTCAGCATTTCGAAGCTAAAAAAGTCATTACGGTCAACTCTCTCTTAACGGACACCTGGTGTTGGTGCCTTCCATTTTCCAGTCATTTTACTACAAGATCTGTACTCTCTGTAAGATGGACACCTCTTAAGACGGACAACAGACACTTTAGAAGTGCTTTATCTAGTGAAAAATACCTCAAAACTTTAACGTAGGTGCTGTACGTGAAAGTAAATTGCCATTAGGGGAAGTAAGTTACATAACCAAAAACAGTTACACTGTATCTTTTGACTCTTTTAGCCTTGAGAAATTGAAAAAGTCCCACAGTGGTGGATCCAGGGGAAGGGTCCGGGGGGGTCCCCCCTATTAGACCTGACACTTGTTTGAGACTGAAATTCTTACATCGACAGGATCGTATATCACTTTTTAACCAGCTGATTTTTTTCAATGAAAGGTGTGTTGTTGTTCTTAGATGTTCGACAATTATGGCGACAACTCAGCCGACAACCTTATTTTATCAAGCAGTCAAAGTTCGACAGTCCTTTCTGAACCAAAGTTTGGACCCCCGCAATAAAGAATTCCTGGATCCGCCCTTGTCCCACCAGAAACAATCCATTATCTGTTATAACGGGTTAATTTTTGCATGCTTATGTACTTAAAGTACTGAATGACAGTTTGTTTTGCAGTTCAAACCTTTATTCAAAGAAGCAAATTATGTATTGTTATTCCTTGGTAGTCTTATTCCAGTTCGCAGAATGTACAGTGTTCTGTTATGCTTTTAGACTACTCCATCATGAGCATTGGCTTGTATGAATGTTTGATTGTACAATGAGAAAGTGATTCCACTTTTTTATTACATTGTTCCAGTTTTTACTATTTTGCACAATATTAAAACAGAATGTGTATTCATTGCAAATAGGTTCAGCTTTCTTTTTTTTACTATTGCTAGTGTCATGCTACCCCAACTCTCTATAAGCTGGACACCTCTCTAAGACAGACAGTCAGGGCTGGTTCCNAGTGTAATGGTCTGTGACTTTTCTTTCTTTTGGTATTACAACATTGTGTACCTCTAAGGCTTTTCTTGGCTCGGCTTTTTTTTTTTTTTGGGTTTCCCACCCCCCAACCCCCCCCCCCCCCCAATCCCTAGGCTTAACAAGCAGCCATTTTGTTACTTCTTATTAAGAGGAGAATGAAAATCAGACTCTCTCAAACAGCTGGAAATTGATCCTAATCTATCCCCCTCCACCCCAGCCAGGAAAAGCCAGAAAAGTAAAAAGGGGTGTCTACAATAAGGCTCTAAGTGACACTTGATGTAATATCAAATTTTTCTCTTGTTTCACAAGCAAACACAAGGTAATTTGAAAGAATAATCTAGCTGGCTGCAGTTAATCACAGGTCACGTAGGGCTTTAATTTTATGTTGTAATATGAAACATCAAATCAAATTGACATATTAAACAAAAAATAAAATGAACTAATTTAGATACAAAAAATGTGCATTCTGAAAACCTTTTGTTGAGTTATAGCATTTTAGACTGAATATACAGAGGACATTTAACAAAGGTTTCTGCCACAAATGTTTGCAAGTCAAAGATGACAGTCCGAGGGAAAAAGTCTTAATGCATGTAACACCCCAGAACATAATTATGACATTAGGCAGAAAAAATTTAAATGAAGCAATTACTTTTAATAATATTTCAATATTTGTTTTGCTGGTTGATTACGTTTTGTAAGACCTTCCATAATTTCTGAATAGCAGAATATTAAATAATATTAACTTAAGCTTTGGAAAGTGAAGGTTTAAATTATTCACCAGCATAGAGGTGAATAGTGAACATCTGCCACTTTTCACAGGCTCCATCCACGCGTATCTGGAAATTTTTGAATCCGCAACTTTTTCTGTACGGATACACCTTCTGTCCACACGTATCTGGTGAATCCAGCATACAAATCTCATTCTGGGCATTAGCATCATGCTGCTTGAAACTCACGTATAGCTGGGTATCATCTGTGTAACAATGAGCCTCGGAGAGATGACATTCAATAACCTTGAAAGTGTAGAAGTGTACATAACAAATAGTGGAGGACCTAAACAGGACCCCTGAGGTGCACCACAGTTAAGATGGCGTTGATTGGACAGAGAACCATCAATACAGACTTGTTGGCATTGATTAGAGAGATATGATACGATACGTGTGGACGTGGAAATTCTTGAATCCAGAAAAAAAGGTGCGGATTCAAAAATATCCGGATACCTGTGGATAGGACTTCAGATTCTAAAATTACTAGCAGCAATTGTAATAATTCCCCTTTTAATAGATACCAATCAAAAGAAAACATGTATGTACCCAATACTAGAACTCAGGGATGTGGCTAAGAAAAGCTATCCACGGTTTTTAAAAAACCAAACCAGATTTTTCACTCAACTGCAACTAAAAAGTAATTCCTGTCATGGTTTTCCAGGACAATAATTAAACAAATAATTATTATTTGAGCTGGTGATTAACTATTTTTCAGACACTAAAATAAGCCGGCAGCCACCTCTTAGCAACACCCCTGAGTACTTAGTAAACACATTTATTATGTGACTGGTTGGAAAGATGAACCCAATCCTGGATTTTGGTTGGCTACCCGAGCAACCAAGATAATCCTATTTTGCCCTCTTGCTTTGTCCAGCAGAAGAAGAGTTTGTTTCAGCCATATACCAAATCCTTTACTGACCAATCCTGTTTAATCAAGATTGATCTTTTTAAGCAAAAAATGGGGATCCAAAATGAGGAAGCATTTTTATGCGTAATCCAAAACAGTGCTTTTCAGTGAATAGGAAATACCATTCAAAAGTACACGTATGAATTTACCAAAGAATGCAAGAACACTATTAATCTTTAATAGTGCATTTTCTTTTAAAAGCCTTTTAAAGCCTTAATATCAACTTGGGAATTCTCCACCAAAAAGACACCACTATTGCTGGTTTTTACTGTCACACCATAACAAAAAATTAAAGCGCTCAATAGATAAAGTCCCAAATCTGGGAAATGAAAGGAGGTAACATTCAATTAATTTATGCTTAATTAAGCAGTCATGTTGTCAGTAGAAATTCAATGCTGGTTATTACTAAGGCCTAAAAAGTTGAGCAACATATCAAGTACATTGCTGTGGCGAGCAATTCAGGTGTTACAAAAGAAGAAAGGGAAGGAGGAATTTGGGTGTGTAAGATAGGCTTGTTCTCAAGCGCTTAAATTCTTCCCTCCCCTCCCCTCTGAATCCCTGCCAAGCAGACTACAAGTCAAGAGCACTTTAATTTAAGCTCTTTAGCAAACGGACAAATGTACATCATACAAGACTAGAACAATAAGTTAGCATAAGTGTAATTATTACACTTACAGCTGACACTCACAGAAAAAGCATTTTTTCTACTAATTCTCCAGAAAAAGTCACTCTGAGAGAACAATTCTTAATCATTCATAAAATTTATGTACATGTACTTTGTATGTTTTATGTTCCTGTCTTCTTTGTAGCAGTGAACACGGCTAAGGCTCCTAGTAAAAGTACAAGACTGACAGTGTACCAGCTTGGCTCTTGTAGCCGGAAATCTAACACACCTCTCTGTGGAGGAAAACAGTACAATTAAATGGCGGATGAGCCATAAACGCTGTGCACGTGCATATGAAACTTGAAAACAATACTAGTGAATAATGAGGATGCTTACTTGTAAGCACAAAATCTGGGGGGAAAATTGGTTACATTTGAGGCCCTATTTAAAAGCCTTACCTGTTTTCAATGCCCTTGAAACTTGCAAGATATATATTTTTATTGACAATTGATCTCGTGATTGTCAAGTTTATAAAAAAATTTATCGAGCGGTTTTTTGAATAATACGAAATTTGTATGCATGGACCAAAATTTGGTTAATTATGTGCAAAAACTGTAACAAAAGCAGCTGAATGCAGGTTAATATAATTCTCCTTACTCGTAATTAACCAGAGCAATTCCCCTCTTTTTTTGTATGCAGTTTTCAATAGAATCAAACCACTATGAGATGAAGCCCTATTTCCAAAGCTTATCATTTTCTTAAAATATTAGCTAATTGAGTGGATAGCATGCTATTTCACTGTTTTTATGATGCTTAAACTTCGTTTCAAAATATTTCCAAAACGCTGTCATAGAATTTGTTCAAACTTTGCCATAATTGAGGCAATTATGGCAGGTACATACTCCCTTAAGCGATTTCTTAAAAAACCTCCTGGTACAGAGAAAAAACATTAATGGCGTCATTATGTTGCAATGGTGACTCCAATTGCATTAAAACCCAGATCATAAGAAATTTTCATCTTTATATAATACAGTTGTGGTAACCTTTTCCCCATAATATCTTTACTCATGCAGACGTAGTTAATGCTCAAACTTGGGAGGTATCCCCACTAAAAAATCCAGTTGAGCCACCTTAAATGTACTGCCCAGTTATGCATCTGGAAATTCCAGCTGTACCAATGCCCCCAACCCTCCTCAGGAATAAGCAACTTTTTGCCTTAGACGGCAAGGACACTTAAGTTGCCAAATACTCTGCGGTGGAGACAAAAAAAAGAGCACAAATGTCCCGCCCTCAATCAACATTGCAGCAGTATTCATTGATCACACAATCAAATAGCACCACTTTCAGCATTTTAATGTGCAACTTTTTGTTTCAGTGAATGTATGCCTTCATGATAGCCTTATTCTAATTAAGACTTCATGCCAGGATAACACCACTTCATGATTCTTATTTCATTATCATTACTCATCTTGTTTTAAATAGTTCATAAGTGAAAAAAATTTACATTGAAATTTAGTGTGCTGTGAAGCTACATGTATCATCTTGATTTGAATCATCACCACTAAATTTTATGCACATCCTAGATCAACAGAAATTTGATTTGATAACCAAAAAAATATCTCAACTCATGTCAATAGCCCCTGATTTTGCTATGTAAGTTCTGGCTTGACAAGCAGTGAAGAAATGCACGCACAAAATCATGAAAACATGCCTTAAAAAAACTCTACAACCTTTTCACATCCTTGATAGATGCGCCAATTTGCCAGTCGGCTTGTATTTCCAGGAAAATCCTCCACTTTTAGTTATATTTGGATAGGAAACCATGTGTGTTTCAAAATCTCAGGGTGGCCCCGGGGTGGGCAAAGCCCCACCTCCAGACCACGCAAAATTTGCTAATGACCCACCCCTGGGACTAACATAGCCTGCAAATGCCCCTCTGTAGTCTGGAGGGGATTGGCACGGCTGGAATTGACTGATACAGTAACGAAAACAGCTTCTGGTATTACGTACATGCACTATGAAAATGATTTTGCTTATAACCAGAAAAAGCTCATTTGAGATTTTTCCACATCTATCTCCTTCTCTACTTGCTGATGGTTTTTTCCCAGTTTTTTGACACCTGCTCTGTACCCAGTGGGGAGCCTGTTCACAGGCCATTACAAAATGTCACCACAAATTAGCACACAAGAAATGTGAAGAGAGCAAATGGTAGAGAGTTACACAAAAGACTTCTACGATTTTTAATGAAAACATACAAGGATGTTGGCCCAAAAAGCAAGAAAATTTGAGAAAAACCTCGGTTACCATATAGTGCAGCAATCTGTATGTTGAAAACGAATTTTCAACCACAAATAGAAGATTACATTTACTTGAAATTGGAAGTACCTGAAAACCATCTAGAGGCAGCTGGTACATGAGCTAGATTTTAAACCCAGGATCGCGTGTTTACATGGGTCAAATTAAGACATAAGCTTAATAAATTTCTCGCCGACTCATTTGAAGTCTCAAGATTCATGAGAAATCTTAATATTGACATCACGAAAGAGCCTGATGTAATATTATTATCAATACTTGTGATTAAACAGGATATGCCGAGGGTATAACTTACCCATCCTCCATGCCGTGCTATCCATCTAGCAATTCTTTCGTTGAAGATAAAATCCACCACAAATCGAATGATTCTCCGTAAAAAACTACCGCTGAAGCCTCTACGTATGACAGTCACAGCAATCTCGTAGCCGAAACAGAGTAGAGCAACAATTCTACCCCAGTTTATGCCCGATCGAAACAGCCTTCGAGCCACAGCGGCAAAAGTTTCATAGGCCGTCGCTGGTGTAAGGCTTAATGAATCGATCATGTCCTTGAATTGGTCTTTGTATTTAGCATCTATTTCATCGCCTATCTCTCCTAGTCGCCTTCCAATAACAGGAACATGCTGCGAAAATGGATGAACGTCATTACAAGAACGCAGTTCCTCCAGCGCGTCTGGACGAGCGCTAGCGGTTGGACTGTTCATTTCGCCTCTTTCTTCAACTCTCTCCGTCTCATCCTGATATCTTTGAAACATAAAATGACGAAAAACTCCTTCTGTGTCTCTTAAGACAGATCTCTCATCTTCTTCAGGCTGAATTTCTGGCCTATTGTGGCTGGAATCTTCACCACCTGAAGCCATTTCTGCTCAAACTCTGAACCACGAAATCGAATCGCTGAGCCGACAGTCAAGCAGCGGAACAAACAGCGGAGGCAAACCGGCTGAGGCAGGGCGGATAAAGGTTGGGCGGTGAAACGAGCGTGTCCGAGCAAAAAGGTGTGATGCAGTGGACTGGGACTCTGCTTAGAAATGTCGCTTGTTTTCGACTTCGGTCAGGGCTTGCGATGTGGTTTGTACATTAGACACTGCCGCTGTCACTGAATTTAGCGGCTTGATTTGTTTTCTTGCACTTCTTCCTCGTTCCTTTGTGCTGGTACGCTGTCTCCGAGAGGCAAATGTTGCTATTTTTTGCGGGAGGTTTAGTTGGAGTAGACAAACATCGCTTTCAAAGGGTTTCTTTTATTACTTCCATGACTCTACCACTGAATTATATTTTCGTTCTGCTACTCGCCAATGCCGATGTTATTCCAAAACAAAAACATCTAAGTACTGTCTAAAACACGAAGGAAAATCTCATCCATGTCACCCATGGCAAAACTAAAAGACAGCAGATCGTGTTTCATAACTAGATGACGTGTATTTTATAAATGCGTGCAGCTCGTGCAAGGTGAAATTATGCTAATTTCAATCACCATCATCCTTCTTTTTAATTTTGAAAAAAAAAAACATCTCATACGTCTTTCTGTTTCTTCGAAACTTCAAAATTAGTTTTCCCTCAGTTTTTACTGTTTACCTTGTTTTGTTTTAGAGAGAAAAACGGAGAAAAAACCTTACAACTGACCTCAATAAATTTTGTTTACATGCGGTTGCCGGATTTGCAACGCATTGCGCGAATCGCCATGGCGCGTTGCACCCGAGAAGCAAAGTTTGAAGAAATATAACGCCACTATATCAATATATATCAATCTAATTTTTTGTTATGTTATACAAAATTTATCCCCCTTTAACATATGTAAAAATTGAGGTTAAGAAGTGTTAAGCTTTTGCAAACGAAACGGCGAAAGACGATTAGGTGATATTTAGTGGAAGGAGGAGGTATTCAACACTTTCAAATTAAACTCAAATTTTGGTATTATACGACCAACAAGTTTGACTTAAAGACATACAGACACAAACATATGAAACTGTTTATTGATATTGTTATGAAACGAATTTATCTATTTAACACTGTAGCCTGAAATTACAGAAAGAAAATAGGATTTCCGGTTTGCAAAAAGGAAAATTTCGCCGGCCTTCAAGCGCACCGGAAGCGCGGAAAGAGCGCTCGTGCCAGTCCTACTCCGCATCACACATTAAATGAAGAGCGGAGCGCTCGTTTCACCGCCCAACCTTTATCCGCCCTGGGCTGAGGAAAGTACGTGCGCGCCCCGTTCTTTCTTGCGCCGACCAATTTTCATCTTTTTTTATGACTCACCCTCCGAAAATGGTAGGGAAGTTAATTGCAAAATGGGAAATATCGTAGATAAATGAAGCGGAAATTTTTAGCTTCTCTTAACGTGTCCCCCGATATGTATGATTATTAAAGAATATTTTGTGGTAGAGGTCTGTTATGTGCAGAGTGAAGTGCCTCTGACCATCATAGAGTGGTTTCAAGTCAGTTGATTATACTTAACAATTATTCCTCGAGACCGAATGGGTTCTGAGTCAATAACCCATGAGGCCGAAGGCCGAATGGGCTATTAACTCAGAGGCGATGAGGGCGATGGGAATAATTGACATAATTGTTTTAGTAAAATCCAACTAGTTGGTCAAAAATATCGAGAATAAAAAAATTTTAGCTAGTTAAAGCTAGACTTTAACCCTTTTTTGCCGCCTAAAAGCCCGCGCTTTTAGCTACTATGGGGCTATAACAGATAGCCTAGTAGTAGCTCAATGAATCAGAACGCGGCATTGATAATAGACCACTAGCTGGATTTTACTAAATAGATTTAGCCAGGGCTAAAAGCGAAGCTCTCGATAATATTTACAGTTTTTTCAAACAAAATATAAAAGCGGCGAAAGCATGCAACGCGACATGCAACGCCGGAAAACGGTGAAAAACAACAGAGCGACTTTGCTCGTGCAGCACACTTTTCTTGTATATTTCTTTTCCGTTGTTTTGCACGACTACAACGTGGAACATCCAGAAACTTCTTAGTTACACGTTTTATGGAGGAAATGTCGTACGTGTTCCCGTTCACTTTTTTTCACTGCCGCTTATTTTCACGTCGCATTGGTGGTTGTTAGCATTTCTCATTTTGTCACCGCCGCTACAAAATTTTCAAGTTGTTCTTCCTACAAAAAATGTCTCCTTCGGTTTTTTATCTTTCGCTCTAAGTCCCTGTCGCCCTTTTTCTCGTTGAGCTTCGCTGGCCTACCGCCCACTTTCTCTTTTTCTCTGTCTTTTTCTGGTTCTATATTGATCTATATTCCAAATTTGTAGACAAGACAATTTATCTAAGTTTAATACTTTAGACAACACGGATACAGAAACAATTTCCGCATTCCTTTTTCGTCTTTATAGACTCCTTTGTTGTCTGTGCTTTACAAGACGCCGGTGGCTATGCGATTTCCCGCCAAAATAACCTCTAGTTGCATTTGGGAGGCCATACCTGTTGATTGAGTTATTTTACATTGGTATGCCTGTGGTGCGCACAGACGGTCTCTCGGGCGGGCGGGCGGTCGGTCGGTCGGTGTACGGTCACGTGATTAACAAATTTTCTCGGATGGGTAGATTACTTCATTTTCTTACCCATGGTGCTCCGCTGGCGTGCTTCGCGCGCGAGAGCTCCGCTATAATTGAATTAGAGCTCACTTCTGCCCCAGACCAGAGAAACCAGGTTGATTTTGTTATCATGTATTTCTGCAAAACGTTTGACAAAGTCCCACACCAGTGCCTCTTATTAAAATTACAACAAACCGGTTTAGAAGGTTCTATTTTTGGTTGGATAGAGTGCTTTTTAACACAACGCTCCTCAGCGAGTTGTTCTTGATGGTGTTCAATCTGAGAAAGTGGCTGTGACATCCGGTGTGCCACAAGGAAACGTGGTGGGACCATTATTGTTTCCAGTCTTTCAGATCTTTACCGACGATATCCACGATAACATGCATAAGACTCTCAAATGAGTCTCTTTGCAGATGACTGTCTTGTCTATAGAATCATCAATTCCCCAAACGACTGCCTTAAGCTACAAGATCTGTCACTTTTTATGTGACTGGGCGAGCGACTGGCAGATGAAATTTAATAAATGCAAGTGTTATGTTCTTCACAATCTATAGGAACTTTATACTACTTACAAGACACACCCCTAGAGATGTCGACCAAACAGAAATATTTAGGAGTTGCTTTGTCTAACGATTTAGACTGGAGTCACCAAATCAACTCACTCACTACCAGAGCGAATAAGACTCTTGGCTTACTGCGCCGTAACTTGAAATCATGTTCACCCTATACTACGAATATTGTCTATAAGACCAGCGTAAGACCGCAACTTGAACACTGTAGCCCGATTTGGGATCCTTACGAGAAGGGTCACATCTTATCACTTGAGAAGGTACAACGACGAGCAGTGCGCTTTGTTAGCGGGAGACTACCGTTGAGAGTCCGGCGTGAGGGACATGATTAGTAAGATCAGTTGGCAGTCACTTGAGGAGCGCAGGGCGATAGGCCGCCTGGCACTTATGTAAATTGTCCGCGCGGTCTTGTCGATATCTCCACTCCACTCCTCCTCCCAAGTGGTCGCCTAACACGTCATACTTCTGATCTGTCATATCTTCGACTACAACCCAATACCAACTGTTACCGATCTTCCTTTTTCCCAGGCACAATTCCTGAATGGAAATCATTGCCACTAATTTTGCACTGTGCAATCTCAACCCAGTCATGGCCTCTCTAATTTAAACATTTCAAGGATTATTAACACTAGCCACTATGACAACTAAGACCGCTGATCATACTCCTGTATCTTATATGTCCCGCATGAGAGATTGATACGGTTATCAATTTAGATTTAAAAACTACACAGCCCTACATAGCTCCACATAGCCCTACATAGGCCTACATAGCCATACACATCCCTACATATCTTTTTATAGTGATGGTGTAAAATTGTTTTAATATTAATTTTGTTCTTATGTTTTATAGAGGGCCACAAGTTTATCAGTTTTTTCATAACTGTCACGTGTTTACCCTCTTTAAATAAAGGCGTTACCTTACCTTACCTTACGTAGCCCTACATACCCCTACATGGCCCTGCAAAGCCCTACATAACCCTACATAGCCGTACATAACCCTACATAGCCCTACATAAGCCTACATAACTTTACATAGCCCCACATACTTCTACATACTCCTAGAGATCGCTACATAGCCGTGCATAGCCATACATAGCCCTACATAGCTTTACTTGGCCATACAAAGCAGTATATAGCATTACGCATACACAGATTACATGCTTGGGAGGGTACTTCCTAGCAAAAGGCTAATGAGTATGTGCCACTGGAACTGAGTTGCATTTTCACGACTGGATTGACTACAATGCGGTTACAGTTTCCATAGAATTGCTAGAATGGGGTGGCACATTTTCGAGATCTGGGGGATAAGAACAATCTGGTAAGAGGGAATGTAAAAATGGGAAGATTTTCACCATAGTTAAAAGGTAGATGCATGAACAGAAAGCGACTAAGTTGGGATCTTGAAAACTGTATTTGCCCAAAAACGACTTAGATGGGGTCCATAATTGGCCATAGAATAGACTATAATGGGGTAGGGGTTGTGAGAGGCCAGCGGCCCATATCTAGCAATTGACTCAAGTAACGCGGGGTTCCGCTGGGGCAGGTACTCTTTGTCCTTTTAATCAGAAATTCAACTATTTCGTCTTCGCATAGTTGGATAGTAATTGCCTAAGTAGCCTCGTTTCCAGGCAAATAAACCATCATCAACCTCGTTTCCATGCAAATATACCATCAAATCGATGGTATCAGGAGCCGATTATAATCGGCTTCTGATGGTATATAGCAAGCACTTTCAATCTTTCAAAGTGTCCAGCAC